ATTTTTTCCAGTTGCAAAATCCAAAATTAGCAAAAGTGTTGACAGAATTGGTATCATTGAATAGTCGACACGGTGCACAATATATTTTCCCTGTGCTATTAGAATATACTATATAATTACGATTTACTTCTTTTCCGTTTATAAGTTTAGTTTTGATATAATTTTGGTGGAAGCTTCTGTAGTATGATTTTTTTGTGCCACGAATTACTTTTGTACATAACCTTTTAGACAAAGAAAAGTTGGTATCTTTTAAATTTTGATCAAAACCATTGAGTGTTATATAGTCTCTAGTATTTTCATTTAAATCCCACAAAGCAGGATCTTTACTATATAAAAAAAAAAATAGATGGTTAATAACCTCATAAGAAGCTAAAAGAAAAAACTTTAACTTACTTGGGAATAGTTGTAGTTTGTTCATCCATATTATCACCAATAACAGAAGTAAGAGGAAGGTCAATATTTAGACTATTGTTTGCAGTTGGAAATAGCTCATCAGCATTAACATAAATGTTAACAGAACTAACAAGCATTGTACTAAAAAATACTATATTATTAGCAACAGACCATGTCATCACATGGTATTCATAGTAACTTACTCTAATAATGTATTATTTGAACTATTGTCAGTGTTAAGATTTGCTTGTTCAATAATTAATGGATCATCAACGAAATAATCATCATTTAAAATGTGCAAATTAATATCTTTCCTAAAGAAATAAATATAATATGAAGTTATTGTTACATAATTGATAAAACAGCATAGAATAATTAGAATAAAATTAATCATTTACCGACGACATGATGCATTTGAGTTACTAAGAGTTAAATCATCCGTTTGTGAACTAGCAGTAATAAGACTATTGGCAATATCTTCTAAATTTAATAAATAAATGAAAACATTTAACTAAAAAATGTAACAAATAATATGACAAATGTCATTGCCTGTACAATAGTATAGTAAGATGGAAAATACTATATTTTATCAAAATTTTGGATTAACCTAATGAAAAATTTACAATATAAATAACATATTCACTAGGTAATAGTGCATAAAAAAATGTTATATAAATTAGTTTGCAAATTTGCAATATGTCAAGCAAACTATATACCTACTATGTAGCAATAAATATTTTCTATGAATAAAGAAAAGTAAAAAATTAAAAAAGTAATATTTAATAACTTTAAAGTATAATATTTAATAATAAATATCATATTAATAATTTAAGTAATTTAACTTAGGGTGTAAAATAATAAACAATCAGCACCAACCTTGAGTTATAAAATATGAATTTTGATATTTATTGATTACTGAATACTAATGACATAAATTAATGAAAGTAAATATCAAAAGTATAACATACTTGACGTCTTTTCTGGACTGTTCAACACGTTATTGCCGTTATTAGTCTTAAAATAAGAATTTATGCAAGGAACTTTTGCCATAACATTTGCAATTTAAATTTTTTTATTTTTCGCTTTCTTGCGATTACTAGAACCACTAGGCTGCGTTCTCGTTCTACTGGTTTTAACCATCTGAATACCATAAGCAATTTAACGAAATTAAAAGCAAGAAGCATTAAGCATTTAATAATTATATTTTACAAATTATATTATATATTATATTGCGATTGTCAATAACACATTTTATATTGTCAGGAACAAAATAATTTAAAAATACATACCGTATATAAATATTAAGTAGATTGCAGTGATTGCACAGAATATTGAGAATACCAAAGCCCAAACGAATAAAAGATGGAGACTTTAGTATAAAGGAACGCTTTATTAAACAATAAACAATATCACGGAGCACGGACGTACTAGTCGGAGCAAACGCAGCGTAATTAATATTTAATAGTCGCCAATTGCCATAATAGTTAGTAAATATACGCCGCCCGTCGTCGAAGTAAAAATAGGTTTTGTTGACGAGTGATGACTGACGGGTTTCGGGGTGTCTCTGGATTTCCCATAGAATAATATTTCCTGATATGTACAATATACAACACAGATAAAGTCATCGCTACAACAGCTATAGTATATACATTATACAGGTCTTGAACTTGACAGCCGTGGATGCGGGCTGCCCACATTTATTTACGCAGAGGCAAATTCATTAGGTATTGCCTATTGGTATAATATTGTATGAAAACTATTCATATTATACTTCGTAAAGGAGATTTTTTTCTCCAGATAAAATCATAAATAAGTTAAAAATTACTAACGAAATATGTGCTATCGGTGAGCCAAAAAGTAAACATTTTGAGTATTATTTACTACAATATTTTAAGTGAGCCGCCGCCTCACTTGCCTCACCACCAAAACCGCCACTGCAGATTTTCAAATTAAAAATTGATGCCCCTTTAAATTTGATGCCCGGGGCGATTGCCCCCTCTCGCCCCCCCTAAATACGCCACGGAGGATGATGGATGGTTAAATAGGTACTCAAATATTGCTGGCTGTTAGAAAATATCCGAGCAAATGAGCAATCGTATTAGTCCCAAAAAACGCCGTTGATTAAAATATCCAAGTCCAAAAATGTTAATTCTATAGAGGTCTGGGGGGCTATTCAGAAACTCATACGAAATACATCCGTATACGAACGATTCACGATTCGTTTCTCATACAAATGAAAAATAGTATTCACAAAGCATTCATATTCGTATACGAATCCGCGTTCCCTATAGATAATATGATCCGTATGGGAATGATAGTCACACGATGAACAGCGGCAGCAGCGGCCACATCGAACATTTATATTTTTATCATGGAAGAGAAAATTATTGTTATTGCTATACTTAATATTTCCCATAATTTTCCATTTTAAGGCCCCTGATATATTGTTACAATAGTAGTTGAAAAATCTAAAATATACATAAGCACAGTTTATTTTTAGAGTCATTTTATGTTCAATTTGGACGAAATCACATATTAAAAAACCTAAAATAACTATTTTAGTTATTTTGTTGTGATTGTATAATATTATTCGTGGGTACTTGAAACTTCTAAAGTATACTATTATATATCTATTATAGTATCACGGTTTGTTGTTGATGTATAACAAGTTATAAGTACGAAGTACCTATAATGACTAGGTATTGTGATATAATTAATTTGGAATTTATTATAGGTACAATTTTTTTTTTTAATACCATAGATAAGTAACACCATAGATATGTCTTATACCTAGACTGACATACCGTCTCCGCTCAGAATCGTTTTTCTTATACAATGATATTATATCATTGAATTCAAATTTAATACCATCCATTATACAGTGACCACTTGTAACCTACAGTACAGTAGAACACGTTTTTGTTTATAACATTTTAATAACATGATTCGTTCAATAATCAAAGTTCTGATCAGTCATGCTAGTTCTTTTTTAGTGATAGTTCCGTCACAACAATGAACTTTTCTCTACATATGTATGATGTATTAGATTAAAACTATATAGGTATGTATAGTCGAAGATAAACGATAATGATAATATTGATATCCATTTTCTTAGTAAATAGGTTGTACTAATAATATTTTCGTATAGTAAAATAAATTATTAAGTATAATTATAGCTGTTATTGCAAGCTTAATACAAGCTTATTGCATAATATATATTTTGTTATTGACTTAATAAGCTTAGATATTCTGGTTCGTAGTCGTCGACGACTGGAGAAAAAAATCATTTAATTAAGCTATTAATCGACGTAAAAAAACGTTTAATAGGTCAAATCACTCTAGTATCAAAACTAACAGCACACTATTGAAACTAGTGAACGACAATTTGCTATGTGCCTATGTCACGGTCGTGCGTGTGTAAGACGGAGACAACAAATGCATGGGTAGCATCCTCTTAAATAATTTTATATACTATAGTTATCGTAGTTCGTAGTATAGCCAGCATGGTAAATGGACATTTTCCCCCGACTGTTTTAGGTCTGGTTAAACATTTTTTTTTTAAGTTTATTGACTAATAATATTAAATTTATAATATTTTTATATTTTTGATTATTTAATATGAAATATCTTTTTTTTTTTAAATATAAAATATCTATTTTATAAACATTATTTTTTTTTATAAATATAATAGATTATAAATCTATATGTTCGATCCACTGAACTACTTAAAGAATACAATTTTTTAAAAAATAAGCATAAAATAAAATATAATTAATTATTAATAAAAATAGCTAAAAATTCTGACATAAAAATGATACATTTTGTAAAAGACATTTGATTGCTAATTCATTTGTTATTTCTGAACACATGTTTTTTAGCCTTTGTTCATATTTTTTAGGTTCCTAGCGGAGCGATGAATGTATTGATTTTAAAATGATGTGTGTTTTTTATTTATTTTTTTATTTTTTTGTGTCTGTATACCCGATACTTAGTCGAAATAATGCTTCGATTTTCAACGTTAGTATCTTGTTCGATGTGAAAGTGAATATTGTTGGTGCATTGTTGCAAAATTGAAAATTACCAATAGTTTTCAAAAGCGATGGAAAAAACAAAAAAAAATTAAGGTGAAGCGGGAATTTTACCTCAAAATCGATTTTGGATTTTGGTACAACTCTAAAATAAATGAATTTAGATATATGACATTTTCATATTGAAAATTTTTTTTTCATATTATTGAGTTCTGGTGTCCAACAACTTTAAGAAGTGGTCCAACAAACTTGTTTACACATCGTAGAAGAAGAAAAAACATTCCAACATCTTTTCTAAGTTCTACAATCACCACCATTGACTTCTAGCACTACATTTTTCATTTTTTCACCTAATATTCATATGACAAATTTTTAATTGTCGTTATATTAAGTTCTGGTGTCCATCAACTTTAAAAAGTGGTCCAACAAACTTGTTTACACATCTTAGAAGAAGAAAAAACATTCTAACAAATTTTCTAAGTTTTTAAATCACCATTTTCTTCTGGCACTACATTTTTCATTTTACAAGCGTGCCATCAGGATTATGTCGGTCCCGCGGTGTCAGCTTAATATGGGCTTATGCACTTAGTGCACATGATTTGTAGATGGAAATGTTTACAAGGAAGGAAACCAATAAAAGATTTTTATGTGCTTGCAATAGGTTTGCTAATTCAATCTGAATATTTTGATATCTTCGATTCAATTTTGAGAAGTATATTAATTCTAGCATTAGCTGAGACCGATGGCTATGATGATAACGTCAAACAAGAAACGCCTTCCGAAACGGCTAGAATATGTTTGGATAATGTAATTTCTGGTGTCAAAAATATGGATATTGCTGATTAAGAAAAATACAAAGGAATATCGAATGACAATACATTTTATTTTGACTCAGAACAAAACGAAAACAAATCTCTATACACGTCACTTTTAACTACTTGGATTAATTCAGTTGAGAGAGACCCTATACAAGAATCGGTAGTTAAAGGTAATAGATTAAATGCATATTATTGCCCCGAATTAAAAAGACCTTTACTAAATATATGCAAAAAATTTTGCTTATGGTCAGGAGTAATGGTTAAACATATTAAATGCACTAATAAGATTCAGAAGAAGAAGATGTTCAAATAAATGCAAATGCATAGAAAAAATAGAAAGTAGTTCAGAGTCAAAAATGATAAATAATGAAAGTAGTAAATGCAATGCCTTAAAGTTAGAATCAGATTTAATTGAGACTGATGACGATGACTTGATTTGGAAACGAAAATTTAAAAAATGCAATAACAGATACCACAGATGAATCAGGAAAAGAAGAAGACACACTAAAATGTAATTCTGAAATAATGGAGCTACAAGAAAAAGAAAATTGGAAAAATAAAGCCCGATCTCCGAAAAATAGGAAATCATTGTAATTAGTTAACCATCCTGAAATAAAATATAAACTTCGAGCAAAGTCAAAGTCAAATCGACATAATAAGAAACGTTAAAAATCGGGAAAAAAGTATTAAATACATGTCCATTTGAAGCAGTGATTCAAGCAATAGCTACTGGATACATTGATTCAATACTACTATACTAGAGTCCTCAGGGAAAAAATCCAAATTGATGTGTGGACTAATGGAATTAGATTGTCGGTTCAACGTTAATAACTTATTGGATCTTTTAATTAAAGATGAACTAAGTATTTGGGAATATCACACATGTGACTCCGTAGCTAGGCAATCTGAGAAACCAATGATATTCATTCCAATAAACCTCGGTGAACTCAATAAAGGTAAATATATATAAAACATTTACATTAAAATTATTATTAAATTCATGAACATAATGCAAAGAACAATATTTTGTGTATGAATAATCTATTAAAAATTTAATTAATTCGATAAACATATTTTTTTATTTCAACATACACACAGTGTGATTATTTGTAGGTATGTAGAAGATGCATAATTAGAAAATTCTTAAACCATACAATCGCTTTTATTTTTATCTTTGTGTCGATGGCCTGGTAGGTCTCCGGATTACCGTCGACGCGCTCCAGCACGTCCGCGTTGACCCCTCTGCACTCTTCATTGGTGGGATACACGACGACTCTCCGAGAAAATTCATCGATGTTGGCCAACAACATTTGCATCGGATACACGAAATCGATTAAATAGGTGACGTCGCATACCATTTCCTGCGGGATTTGCAGTGTCCGGAACGCCGTTGACCGCGGGCAGTTGGCCGTTGCTGAGCTGAAGCAACCAAGATGCAAAGTCCGCGTAATTGCCCGAGTGCATGTTCTGGACCAGATCGAAGCGCTCCATGACGTTCCAAAGACCGTTGTTCTTGATCGACGACATGACGATCTCGGCTTTCATCCCTCTCCGGATCACGGGCAATATCTGCCTGAAGTCGCCGGCGAACAGCATGGTTTTACCGCCGAACGGTAAATTCGAATCCATGACGTCCTTGAGCAGGCCTAACCACCGTCAGTTGCAGTCCTGGCGACATGGGGGCTTCGTCCCAGACGATGAGAGCCACGTTGCGTATCCTCTGCGCTCGCTCGGACTGCAAGCTGATGGTGGACGTAATGTCTTCGGTCGGCGTGCCGAACGGAAGTCCGAACGTCGAGTGCACGGTTCAGTGTTGCCAGATTAAAAAAAGTCAAATTCCCTTTCAAAGATTTCATAATTCCCATTTTGATTAAAAATTTCCCGCACCTAAAATTTTTTTATGACGGGACCGACGAAGTGGACAATTTCCTCACAGAGTTCCTCAACACTTTGGTACCGGACGGCCTGCCGCCGTTCCGGCTCGAGTTGAAGGTGGGGTGCATCGTGGTGTTGCTCAGAAATTTCAATCCAAGGAGACGACTGTGCAACGGTACGAGGTTGGTGATCACCGAACTGCGGCAACACAATTTCAAGGCGATGATTTTGGGCGGTGACCTGAGGGTCACGGTGATATTGTCCTGCCTAATATACCGCTCAGGTCCAGCGGTGAGGACGACCTGCCAGTCGCAGTGAAGCGCATTCAATTCCCGGTGAGGTTGTCGTTCGCCATGACCGTCAACAAGTCGCAATTTCCGACGTTCGACAGGGTAGGTTTGCTTCTGACGTCGCCCCCGTTCACTCACGCTCAGCTGTACGTGGCGTTTTCGAGGGTGAGAAACGCATAGTCCGTGAAAGTCGGCATGTACGCCGATGACAGCGGGCGATTCGTCACCAAGAACATCGTGTACAGGGAAGTTCTGTAATGCAATAAGTGGTAAGTATAATCTAGGTGACGTCCGACAATCGAGTCTAGATGACGATGATAGTCTAGGCGACTTTAAACCTAACATGTGTAAAATGTTTTTCAAACATAATACGTTACACCGCTGTTCTAAGTGGTTTGTGTGGAGGTACTATGCCTTCGGGCTAAACGGAGAAAAAGTTTGACAAACTCCTCGTGGTTCTCTCTGGATGCGAATTCACTATAATGTGAATTCGTAACTAATGTCAAACAATGTATGTAATGTCTGTGTTATTTGTATTGTACCGCATACTATTGAATAGTAGTATGATAATATAGTACAGACAATTTGAATGTTGTATTTTATTTGTAATGGGACATTAATTTAAGATTTTATTTCACACATTAAGATTCTAATGTACCCATATTATATGATGTAAATAACATTAATAAGTCAATTTCACTATGTTTGCTGTAAATGAATGGAAAATTTATTAATTACATTAATTGTTTTATTCACTAAAAGAGTATTAGTTTTTTGTTAAAAACCATTTTAGTAAATTTCACTATATCCACAAGATTTATAATATTTTTTATACTGTATATCACTGGACTACTTAATTAATTTATATTGTATGAATGGTTGAGATTTTACTTAATTTTATTTCTATTATATTACTACTGTTTGTATATAAGTTTCCATAATATGATATTTACAATATTTATATAATTGACATTTAATTAAAGTTGTATTTCTTTCTTCTTGGTTTTAACATTAATAAGCAATTTCACTATGTTAATAATATTAATACATTCCTTTTCAAAAATATCTATCAATTGATTTGCATTTGTATTCTTAATCGTGATTTTTTCAAAGACAAATTGCTCTGATATTATTTTCAAGTTTTGATTTTTTGCTACCCGTGTATTTTCCATTATTTTTTCCAGCAGTTTTAAAGAATTCCGATTTAATTCATTCAAAGTAATTTTTTCATCTGGAGTACTAGGAGTAGCAGGTTTATCCGTTATTTCTTCTAAATACTGGTTTCAAATATCATATTATCATAATCATCTATGTATACTTTTTTGAGTTCCTCTGTCAATCCAATCCAAACTATCCTGAATTGGTGTCTTTTTTTTTAATGTTTTTTACAAGATTATAGCCATTATGTAATAACGTACCTCTTTATGGAGATTTATTTTCTGTCATTCTTCTGGTATTGCAAAAGTTTTTTTTTTTTCATTGGTAATTAAAACATCAGCCATTATATTTGATTTTCCATCACCTGATGGTTTAACCATAAATTCAAATTATAATTTTGTCATCTTTTATAATCAAGTATTGTCGTATTATAAGATCAATAATACTTTTGAAGAATTTATAGTAATAATAATAAACAGTCTTGTGTTGCTATAAAATAAAGATTTATTAATTAATCATTTTGATTATTACATTTTATTACATGCGTAGGGTACTTAACTATACTCTGTACCAAATAAGAGCGCACCGGGCGGCGCACGAAAACCGGTCGAAACATATATATACAGGGTGTTGCACGATAAATGTGTCAATCTTCTAGAGGTGTTTCTACACCTCAAACATAACAAAAAAAGTCCTTAAAAAATAATTATTTTTAGATAAAACTGAAACTTCTTAAAATTTCGACATTTTAAAGTTATAAACAATTTGTGTTATTCTTTTGACCCAAAAAATCAAGTGGGAACCTTGTAAGATATGTTTTCCTAATCCCAATTTTATGAGCTTTTCATCAATGTATTCAAATTAATTGTAGTACTTACGGTTTAACAGATATGAACATTATTATGAATCAAATTTGGGTTTAACCAAAAAAACACAAACATGGAAAATATCACCCTTATTATTGATACTTCGATCATGGTCATAAGGACCATTTTGTTGCATTTGAGGTGTAGAAACACCTCTAGAAGTTCGACAAATTTATCGTGTAACACCCTGTATATACAGTCGACTCTCGGTATTTCGAAGTAAATACTCGGTTCCTTGAAAATCACGCGGTAATTCGAACAAAAACAATGCATTTAAGTACACTTGGTAATTCGAAATTAAATTTTGGGAAAACCGGCCACTAACACTTGAATATTCGAAGTATCATTCGTTCAATGCTTGGAAATTCGAAGTATATTCACCAAATGTATTTTATCTGTATTCTTATAATCTTTTTATTAATAATTTACTATACAATCGTGTAGAAATTTAGATTATTACTGTCGATAACTATAGAATATTGTCGTAAGAACCTTATCGTGTTATTTCTTAATCGTCTCTAATCGTAATTTAACTCGTCGAGTCGTCGATAGCCGTCAGCCGAATGTAGTTTTATTTTAGTTTCGTTTAGTCAGTCGTTAAGTAAAGTTCTTATAAGTGCGTCTAATTCTAAAAAATACAAATCTTTGACGATTTCGGAAAAAAAAACAATTGATTGAAGTGGTTGAAAGAGGTGACAAAAAAACCGAAGTGGCTAAGACATTTGACATTCCTTTAAGTACACTGTCTACGATTTTGAAGGACAAAAATAAAATCATTGCTGCGTCAGCAAGCGGTGGTCGGAAACGAAACAGTAAAGGTGAGCATCTAAGAATAGAAGAGTGTTTAGTACAATGGGTTAGGCAATGCAGAGGGCAAAATGTGCCTGTGAGTGGCCTCTTACTCAAAGAAAAAGCAAAATCATTCGCCAAGGGGTTGGGCATCCCGTTTTTCTCAGCTAGTGATGGATAGTTAACGAATTTTTAGAAAAGAAACGGTATTGTTTTCAATAAAATGTGTGGAGAAAGTTCTAGTGTTGACGATAACGTGTGTTCAGAGTGGCATCTTAAGCTTACAACTTTGTTAAAAAATTACGAGCCACGAAACGTGTTCAACACAGATGAAACCGCTCTATTTTTTAAATGTTTACCAGATAAGACTTTCACCTTTAAAGAAGAAAAATGCCACGGCGGGACACATAGTAAAGACAGGTTAACGATTTTACTAGAAGTAAACATGGACGGCTCCGAAAAGTTAACTCCACTCATAGGAAAAGCTGCCAAACCTAGGTGTTTAAAGGGCATACGTTCATTTCCTGTAACTTATCGTTCAAATAAAAAGGCATGGATGACGACAGAATTATTTAATGAATGGTTGGTTTCACTCAATGAAGACATGAAAGAACAGGAACGCAAAATTCTACTGTTTTTAGACAACTGTACAGTTCATAATAACCTCCCCCACCTTTAACTAATATAGAACTTCAATTTTTCCCTCCTAACACCACATCGAAGTTGCAACCACTCGATCAAGGTATAATTAAGAATTGTAAAACTTTTTACCGTCAAGAAGTTGTAAAGAATGTTTTGGAATGCATTGAAAGTGCCCAACATTAGTGTATTGACTGCTATGATATTTGTTGATAAGGCATGGAAAAAAGTGGCTTTAAAAAATCGGGATTTACCATAGAAATTCAAGAAACGGAAAACGACCAGTTGAATATTGAATCAATACAATGGAATTCCCTGCCAACTCAAGAGAATGTATCTTTCACTGATTATGTCAATGTAGATGAAGATGTTGTTGTATGGGGAGTCCTCTCTGACGCCGAAATTTTGGAAAATACCTTAAGCTTTGATGAAGACAACGAAGATGACACAAGTCCTCTACCTCTTGTGACTTTAAAAGAAGCCAGTTCATCTTTGGAAAAATTACGAAATTTTTCGCTCCAGTCAGAAATCACTGTTGAGGTTTTTGATGCTTCATTTACTATAGAAAATACCATTGAAAAAATAAAACTAAATTCAATGAAGCAGAAAACAATTAATGATTTTTTCAAAAAATAATAATCTTTTATAATAATAATGAATAATGTTGAAATTAACAATAAATAACTCTAATTATGTATGTTGTATCACCTAATTTACTAAAATAATTGATATGTAAGTACAATAATAAAAAATACAATTTTTTTCTTAACTCTCTTTAATTTGAATTTTTTTTTTGCCCTCTCGTTATTTCGAACTACTCAACAATTCGAACTCTCTGTAATTCGAAGTTTTTCAACAGTAACGTTTCGAAACATTTCGAATTATCGAGAGTCGACTGTATATATATTGATAAAAAATAATAATTCAAATCAACAAACATGCCTGACTAACAAATAGCAACCAATATATAATACACTATTTTAATTTTAATCTCCAAAAATAAACTTTATTTTTTATTATTTAGTTTATTTTTTTCTAGACAGATGGCGCCATTGTTGTATTTTTGACATCCATGTTTCCTACTTTTCCGATGCATTTTCCTAAACAAAAGTGGTACTAAAACCTCCAGCAGACTGTCAAGTGTAACAGTAAAAAATTTCAGCCAAATCGGTTCAGACCCTTACAATTATATATAATATAGATAATACATTTTCTGAATTTATTACTACCTATATATCCTATTGTTTAATAATGTTATTAACCTTGCGTAAGGTATAAAAACGTTGGGGAAGACAACTTCATAAAAAATCTCACAAAACAATAAATATCAGGAATATCAAAAAAATGGCTGTTAGGTACCTGAAGAATTCACCACAACAGTGATGAATTGAACGCCATACTGCTGGATAATCTAGAAGAAATATTGGAGATCATAATAAACGGCAATTATTTATATTATGAGGATGCCATCGTGGATAATGATCGTATTATTGTAATATTCATGGATCCTCTAATTTTTTTTTTCGCCAGAAATTCACCGTCTAGCGGTGAATCTACGGTGTCCATTACAGAACTGCCGCACAGTGGTCTAATTTTGAAAAAGGTTGGCAAAAATGTTTATTTGTAACAATTACATTACAAAAAAAGGTCAACAATATTTAAGTGATTTAATATACACAAACTAAGTATATTATATATTTTATTCATAAAACAAGTTATTTATAAATATTAAATATATTTATACATATAATAAGTATAGTTTTATATTTTATTCACTTTCTGTTCACTGTCGCTGTCGTCGATAATAAGTAGATTTTTCACTGTCTGATGTAATTTTAGCCTTTTCGTTTTTACTTCCCGAGTACTAGATTAATGGATCTGAGTACCTAAAATAGTTTCCTTGGTACTTAAAGTAATGAAATTATACCCATGTTGGTCGGGAATTATGACAAAAATATTCAAGTATGGAGACGCGACAGTTTCAAGTTGTCGGGTGGTAAGTAATTTCAATAACATAAAAAATAGAGGTTTCAACGGAAACAACTTACCTATAAGAGTTGACGGTTTTGTAGAAAAGTTAGTCTCTTACTATAATGGCCAATGGGGATCATTTGTTACTTCAAAATTCTGATTCAATTGTTCTAACAAATAGGTAATAAAAATATTGAAGACAATTTAGGATCAAACATAGGTAAAGACAATTGCACAAATAATTATAATTCACAGACAGTTTCTTGCAATAAAAGTATTCATTTGAATAACGATAAACTTGATAAAGATTGTACAGATGAAGTATCTTATATTTCTAACACTAATATCAGTTCAATTACAAAATTGAATAACAAAAATGTTATACAAATTGAAGAAGATAAAGATATAGAATCTAATAAAAATAGAACAATTTCAACGGCGACTATATTAAATAAGGAACCGAATACCAACATAATATGTTTGCCACGTAAAAATGGAGATTTTCCTACAGGTATACATAGGTGTGTATTTTGTAATAAATCTGTGCATTTATCTGGTTGTTCAGTTGATCATGTCGATAGTGAAGAGGGCTACGGAGAGTCTCGTATATATTTGTCATGTTTCAACCAATCCCAAGAAAATAAAGCTGAAGAACAATGGCAAAGAAAAAGAAAAATATCCAACCCATCCCACAGACGTCCCTCAAACTCATATCTTGTATCGCAACCAGGATTCGATCATTTCAATTTAAACGAAAAGGGATCTATACAATCTATAACATTTTTAAAAAATGGGAATACATTTTAAAATAAAGTATGCTTTTTACCAGAAATAGGTAAAGTAGTTCTTAATAATAGCTGTTCGTCAGATTCATTGATGACAATTTTAGCCTGTGCTGCAGCAGACAGTCATGTTTATTTTGAATTTTTATCAAAAAAAGACAAAACTGCCAAATTTATTATAAGCATGTTGTTAAATACAAAAACGAAGAAAAGTATGCATAAAGAAAGAATAATATTATTAGCTCCTTATTTTTTATCTAAGGACAAACAGCTCGTTGGCAGTATTAGGACAGTTGATGCAATGTATACACAGTCTTCTACAGCTCATAAATTGTTAAAAAAACATGCCATCTTACAAATTTCACATGTGATGAATTTTCCATAGATCAAAGTTGCGAAGTTGTGAAATTCACTGCTATTGATGGAAACATAGATACCTATACAAAAAGAAATGGATATTTTTTTAAAAAATGAATCTACCATTTGTCCCAACTGTAACTCAGTAAGAAACATTACAGTGACTGTTAAGACAAATGTTTTAATTGAGCTGGTTTCTCTTCCAAAAGGTAAACTATAATTATAGTTGTACCTTAAAAACTAATGCTTATAAATAATCATTAATTAATTTTTTTATTCAGAACTTGAAATATCAACAAGTGTTATTGACATTAATATGATAAGTGAAGTACATCAAAATTACGCTGGAGAAATAATGTGGGCATTGGATGAGATACCAAAAACATTAAATATAAATAGCCATACAGGTTATATTGTAACAGTATATATAACAGTTATATGGTATACGTACAGGACTAAGAGTGACAAGTGGTCACTATAAGGCATATGCATTTAGAGGAAATCACTATTGGGAAATGTATGATGATTTAAAAGATCATACTACACAGCCAAAACACATTAAAAATAATGTCGAAGTTCTAATATATACACTTTAATAAAATTATAAACATTAACAAATAATATTAATTTGTATAGCAACCATTTTAAAAACTAAGGATAACAAGTTTTTAAAATTTATTTTATAACCTAATTATCATTGTATTCATTTTAAAAAATAAATAAGACTGGAGCGAATACTTATGTACTTATAGCAATACATTTTTCACCACAGCACAGACAAGGGGAAATTCAATATTATTTTTTAATATAATTGCAATAGGTAGCTTTTTGCAAGGGAAGCTATTGGTTTTACCATGGTGTTTTTTTTTTTTATATATCCTGTATACAAATTTCTACCAGAAGGAGTGCTTCGATTTCAACATATAGTACCTTATCCTTTAGAAAATTGGATCAAGATGGTACTTTAGAGAGGTCATTTTTCGATTTTCTAAATAGTTATATAATGCCACGGGAAAAACCACCGAAAAATTAAGAAAAAACCGCAGAAAATGGGAATTTAATTTATAACGCATTGTCTATCACCATAGAAACGAATAAAAAATAATAATATTAATTCAACTTACATGATATAATAAATAATAACACTATAAAATATCCTGACTGACAAACCGTCTTTGCTCAGAATCGTTTTTCTTATAAAATTAATTCAAGTTTAATACAATCCATTATACAATGACCCCAGGGGCGTGCCCAGGATTCCTTTTTGGGGATGGTTTAGTTTAACCTTCAGGTTTTAAAGTTGTGTACAAAGCAGTGTTTAGAGTGGAATGAGAGGATGTAGTATCAGAAGTTTTCGGTGATAAAGTTACTTGTATTTCAGTTTTACCGTTACTATCCAATTCAGTTGAAGTTTCATCAGAAATTTGTGACGACTTTTTATATTTTTTTTACCTTAGTACAATTAGTACGTTTCATAATGGCCTGAAAATATTTACGAAAATGTATCATTCCTATAATATTAAATTTTTAATAGTAGTTATAGTACTGTGATAATATTGTAATTTCAATATTATTATTCGTATTTTAAAGAAAATATGAACACTGTTCTTACTATATTGAGTGTTATACTCTGAATAATGGAAAGTAACTGGCCATAAGTACTTGGGTAAAAAATGTTAAATGTAGGGTGAAGTGGGGCAACTGCGACCCATAATTTTAAAATCTAACTTTGGTTATGTTTCTGAGTTCAATATTTCTGTTCTACTAAAACAGTTGTTTGTCAACTCATTAAAAAAATAGTTAGCTATTCGAATATACTATTGAAATTTGTCTAACAATCATAGTTTTCGAGTTTTTGATTTAAAAAAAAAAAAAAATTGCCCACATGGGGTAAGCCCCATACACGGGGAAAGTGAAAAATCATATCACCAAAAATACATAAAATGTATATAATTTAAGGCGGGGCAACTGCCTCAAACTAAATTTTATTACCAACAATTTATTTTTTGAATGGAAGAAATATCTTAAATTCTGTTCAAATGACAATACTTTCAATAAATTTTAAAATATTAGACACATTTTTAATAAATATTAAAAAGAAAGAAATACTTCATATAACTTTAACATTTTATATTTCCTTTAATGCAAACTAATTACTTTTATACTCAAACTTTTGAGTGACAGGTAAATATTAAAAACTAAAATATAAAAAAAAACATAATAAAGAATATATTATTAAAAACTATTAATCATTATTATTAATCCGTCTTTCCTCTATTTATTGGGAAAAGTTTCTCAGACTTATGAGTTCAGTTATACATATCACAAAATTAAAAATTAATTAAACAAATGCTAAATGAAAAATTTAAATACCCACGGCATAGGTCATACATTTTTACTTAGCCAAATTATATTGAGCAAATGATTTTGCAAAGACCATTTCACCTCTTCTTCCAATACTGGGTTCTGGTAATCTACATATTATTCTATCAATTTCGTCGATGTCATCGTTATGCAATGAAGATGTAGAATTCTACTTCACTTCTTAAATTTTAATATATCATCTTATAAATCTTATTTTTTATTTTCATGAACCGTTCCCAACATAATCCACTGTTTTCTTACTTTTACCAACATAATATTTTTATCAAAAGCCAATCTCCAGTCTGATTGCTCGGATCTTTCAAGATTCTCTTGCAACGTCCAATTCATATCCCTTTCTATTTCATTTAACAAGTTCACTTCATTGGAACAGACACTCAAATTTAAAAGTAGATCGTCATAAAAGTTTAAATTATTGTTTATAACTTCATCAATAATCTCATTTGCATTTCTCTCTGTGTCTTCTTGTATTGTTGCTACACGCTTTTTCTTTTCATTATCTTTTTCCCTTAACATTTGAACAGCTTCTTCAGACGTTATAACTGATGCTCCACTAGTTACTTTTCTTTTCGATGACTTTTTTCTTCCAACCTGTTTCATAGAAGATAATAAAAGTTCTTCAAGTTATGTATAACTAGGAGTGGATGACATACTATTCAATTCTTGATTTTCTGTGGGACCTGGCAAATCATTGTCTTGTGATTCTATTCTAACAATACCAAAATTTATTTTCTTGTGTATTCATCAATCTTTTTAAGCTCTCTGGATCAAATCTATTTTATCAATTAACTGAATTACTAAATGGATATATTCCAGCCTTGGAAAACCCATTTTCATAATTGTCATCTAATTTAGTCCATATACTACATAGTATATGGATAGTTCATGTTTAGAAGTTTTGTCCTTAGTGTCTTCTCGTCCACGCACATAAACTTTCATCCCACGTGGTTTTTATTAGATTGAAGATAGCTTAAATCTAAAGGTTTGTAGTAAGTGAAAGGAATGAGGTGGCAATAGTATAATGGTTACGTTATTTTTTTTGCCAGTTCTACCAATTTCAATCTATATGCGTAGAATGATCATCATATATTTAAAACTACAGGATTTTCTGGTGTGTGTTTTGAAATTTTCAAAATAGTTGATGAATACTTGTTTTTCCATCCAACCATTTTCAGTTGCGGCATAAGTGGTTCCTGGGAAGTTAGATTTTTCACCAACCCACTTATCCCACACACTTTTACCTTTAAAAATAATTAGAGGTGGTCCCTTTTCACCAGAAGCATTACACGACATGAGAACAGAAGTTTTTTCTCTACAAGAGCTCTGTGTTACAAGAGTTGCAGCCACTTTTTGCACCTACCAGGCTTGTTTTTTGAAGCATCTAAGCAGAATGATGTTTCATCTAAGTTCCAAATTCGTTCTGGTTTATCTCACAGTTTTAACTCATTAAGAGTATTCAACAATAAATCAAAATAGCCGTAGATTGTAAATAGATCACAGGCTTTTTTCCTGGCATACTCAACGATTTCTGGTTTTTTTAAACTTAACTTATGCCTAAATGAAAAACCAAGCCACCATCCTCTTTGGTTAACCATTATTAAATGGATTTACAATATTATTTGAATTTAAATAATCGCCTACTAATGTCAATACTTCTTTTCGGCTCAAAGCATAGCCAAACTTTTCCTTAGTTTTAAGTAGTTCTGCCAAATTCTCTTCTACAGCTATGGTCAATGCAGGTGGACGCCCATAAGTACTAGATTTTTTATCCTCGTCTGCTCTTAAGTGATCTATAATGTTGCCTTTGGTATAGAATAATGTTTTGATGCTCCTGTTGTTACCGTCAATTTCCCCGGTTTTATATCTTTGACAGCTGTTGAAAGTAGTGTTTTTGAATACTTTGGTTTTTCAGTTTTCCTCTTATAGTTCCTCGCCATTTTTACTGTAACTATATAGGTGCATGGTTTAAATATTTTAGGTAGGTACTTAGGTAATTTATTTACGTATGTAGTAGGTAGCTTCAGCTTTTATTGGTGGGGAAAGTGTCACTTCACTAGTCGCATTTACCTCATTGCAAAATTAGCACTTGCCCCAAATATCAATTTTAACGAGGCAAGTGCATAATTGTTAAAAAAAACTTTTTAAACGAAACATTGAGCTTAATTCAATAAATTTAATGCAAACTAGATATAAAAAAACATAACTTACCTAAGTTTCAGTAAAGCTCGATTAAAAAAAAGTGAGAAAAAAAAGTCGAGCGTGTAACAAGTACGCGGGGATGAAGTGAAACTTCTTTCAGTCATGCAACTGATTTGAGGTATTGGAATAAAATAAAAAAAATACACTTTACAATTTTATATTTAATAGAACTGTTTTTTTTTATTATTATTATTTATTTTTAACTAATTATACAATGGGCCTATGATATCTGAAATAATTTATGTACGTTTTTGATTGTACATTATTAAGATATCGTGTGAAAATAGCATCTATTGTGGTTCCTGACCGCGTTGTTGGAATTTTTGGATCATTATTCATTGATAAATTGAGATGTTCACGAAAAAATTGTGTTAATGGTTCTGATCTATCCGATGCAAAATTAACATTAAAGTCTCCACTCAGAATCATAGGCAGTTTATTTTCTCCCCTGCCGAGTAATGGTGTACCTTTGGTAGAATAGGCAATCAACGTACTTTTTAAAAAATAAACTATATCATCTATTTTTTGATTTGATGAGATATAAACTGCTACAATGATGATGATTGGTTCATTTTGTCTTAAACACTCAGCAACACAAAATTCACCGACTGGGGTAATTTTGGAATTATATCAGACAATGATTCATTTTCCCTGCAGTTGTTATCAATATCATTGTTTTCATTTATTTGATCCTCATCCAAATTTTCTACAACCATAAATTCATCATAAACAACCAAATCGTTTTCAACGTCATCAAGTTGATTACACAGAGCTTTCAAATGTCTATTCCGTGTACGAAATTGTCGTGCACGTTCTGCACCAGATACAGGACTTGGTGATATCGTTAATATAGCACCCTGGTTATTTTGCAATATATCTTCACGTTTCCGAATACGATACTGGCGTGCACGTTCTACATCTGACATACGTCCAGGTGATGACATTAATACACCACTAACGCTATTTTGCGATTTTTTTCATTTTGTCGATTTCGGTATTGTCGTGCACGTTCTGCATCAGATACTGGACTTGGTGATAACGTTGATATAGCATCCGGGTTATTTTGTAATATATCTTCACGTTTCCGAATACGATACTGGCGTGCACGTTCTGCATCTGACATAGGTCCAGGTGACGACATTAATAAACCACTAACGCTATTTTGCGACTTTTTTTTCCTTTTGTCGATTTCGGTATTGTCGTGCACGTTCTGCATCAGATACAGGCAGATGAACTTCAGCTTGAACGACTACTCGGTTACTTTGACTAGGTTCTTTCGTAATGCATGTACTAGAAGCTTCGTCAGCAATGTTGCCAATTGAATCTGTAGTTTTAAATTTTTTTTTAGGTAACTTGATCTTAACACCATCTTTTGGCATGTTTGATTTAGCTAAGTTTTTAGCTAAGTTAATAAATATAAAAATAATTAATATTTTAATAATATAATAATATAATAGACTACCAGGTGTTAATAAATTACTATTACATTATATAAGTAGTTGCATTTTAATAGCACATTAAGCCGATATGGCTGACTAGTTAAATGTACAATATTTTTTTGTTTTAATAATTCACAAATATAATACCGATAAAACATACAGAAACAGAATTTATATATAAGTTGTTAATAATATAATAATTATGTAAAATGTAATAGTACTCACACAACGTAGAACGACAAACTGCTGGGAAGAGTTGAAGGCTACTAAAATAAAACAAACCACTGGCAAGGGTTGAGAACGTAATAGTCTATTGACCAAACTTTAAGTTAAATAAAATGACAATCTTTTTTGTTGTAATAATAATTCACAAATATAATACCGATAACATAGATAACATAGATAATATAGAAACACAGAATTTATAAATTATATAAAAAAATCTAATTAATATAATTAGTTGTTATTACATAGGTACTACAAAAATAATAAACTACGTTTCTATGTTACCGGTTAACCGATGCACAGCTGGTCCGTGACGGCGGCTCGTGACGGCGGCTCGTGACGGCTGCTCGTGACGGCCGACCGTGCCCGACCGTTGTTTATTTTTTTTTGTACCCTCTGTAAAGAAGTTTCACTTCAAAAATTGACAAACAAAACATTTAATATTAATACGTGAGATTAAAACTATTTGTTTTTTCGTTAATAGATAACATCATTAAATGATATCATTACAGTGTATCCAACATTTAATGAATAATCTAGAATATTTCGACAGTTGTTTTTCTATCTTCAAAGCAGTTATATGTTAAAATACAATAACTGATATGCGGATTAGGCATTTACCCCGTTTATGCACAAGCCCCACTTCACCCTATATAATATGTAACTATAACTTAACTTTATTTATAAGAATATGATTGACGAACTATTTTTAATTATTTTTTCTACACTTCATTTTTTTTTTTAAACAATAATTATACATTTTATAATTTAATTTTTTATTCAGTTAAAATAAATTCGTATCTACAGTGTCGTCTTCACTAACCTTTTTTTAAATTCGTTGTTTATTTCTCACAATTTAATGTACAATTATGTTGGCGAATTTTAAATAATAAAAACTGTATGAAAATAAACAGAACAGATCACCAATCGTGGTGAACACTAACTAAATAAAAATGTGTACACAAAGTAAGAGTCGGTTTATTTTACCGTTCGACGGTGATTTGTTGAAAGGGCACAACCCACATAATTGAAATTGTTGGTGAGGCACATAAAACTGTATGAAAAACACATTTTTCAACATACAGTTTACGAAATTATAGTTTTAGAAAATTGAAAGAATAACGATTTTATAAATCATTATTAATTTGAAATACTTACCTGAAATAATTATGTAATTAATACTTAAAACACAAGGTTAGAGGGTTAAGCCCTTATTGCATTATGTATTATACATAAGCCGTTTTGATTAAAATAATTTTTAGTGGTAAAAGCCCTTTATGTGTTTTTTTTTCAGAAGCCCTTTTTAACAAATCATAAAATATTATTATTTGAGTGGTAAGTGTCCTTCTTACAAATCATTATTTTTCAATTGTCTTTTCTTACAATTAAAAATGTAATATACATTTTAAATAAAATAAATTATAATAATATTATTAGTAGGTACCTAAAATCTATCTAAAACTTAATTAAAATTTTGATAATAATTTAAAACATACAATTCATTTTTTATTCAAATCATCATATTTTAATAAATAAACTTGAACAAAACAAATTATAAAAACAATAAAATTATAATAATAACCAGGTACCTATCTACCTAGGTATATTATGTTAAATGATTCAATATATCGTAAATTATGACAGATTAACAAAAAATAATACATTTTAAACTAAATCAGACTTTGATAAAAAGTTAAAATAAATAATTAATTGTTCATTCAATTAATTATCACAATATTTCAGAAAATTATTATTATTAATAATAATAGGTATTATACAAATTGACATGAATATAATAGTTTATATTAATAATAATAATAATATACAAACTTAATTAACAAAAAATAATACATTTTAACTAAATCAGACTTTGATAAAAAGTTAAAACAAATAATGAATTATCACATTTTTTAAATATAAATTGCACTGCACACGGACTTCCAGTTACTATCTATAAATGATGATATAAAGAAATTAACAATCAACTTCTTCAACCACTTACAGTCTGCTAACAGCGCTAAATACTACAACCTAAGTGTCCCTCCTCCAATACGCCGTCTCAAGCGTGGACGTCCACATGACCTCCTATGCTAATTGTCTATTGCATTGTATTATTATTTTCTCATATTATTTATTAATTCTTAATTAAATCTTAATTGTACATACCTATTACTGTTGTAAAAATATAGAATTCTAATTTATCAATTCTTACTGATTTGGTAATTTTTTTTTCTTTTTATGATAACCTTTTTCAAAATGTCAAATATTATATTCTTTTAGCCTTAAGTTTAGATGACCAATTGTCAGGAAAACTTTATAAATAAATAAAAAAAAAAAAATTAATAACTATAGGTATTATAAAAATTAACATGAATAAAATAGTTTATAATATAACAACAAAATTAATTATCATCGACAATTTAAAACAAACAATTAAACAATAACTAGGTTTATACCACCTGTTATATTATAATTAAATTTAAATGCTTATATGATTAAAAACAATTTATATTATAGGTATTATAATAATAATAGAGATCTATATAATTTTAAATTTCAGTCTTCTTCATCAGTTTCAGCTAACTCATCTCTAACCGTTGTTTTAAATGGGAGTTCTAAGTATTCACTATGGAATTTAACAGGAATCGTTTTTTTGTACATAATTGTTTGAGGTCTTTGTATTTGGCTTCGGTTATTGACAGTTTGATGTAATATAACTGTTTTGGTTCATCATTTTTTATTTTAGATCTCACTCTACTCTCAGTTATACTAACAATTTTGTAGTTCAACATAATATTATTCTCATCATCATGTTTAAATGAATAAGCTATCTACAAATCATTTAGATTTTCTTTATTAAAATGTGCTGTTCTTATATTTTTAAATTTAACATCACAGCAATCAGTATCCTTTAATTTTGGTCGATTGAACATTGTTTTACATACTTCGGACCAATCTAAAAAGTCTGAATGATTTAATTATAAGTGCCAAATTTTGTTCTTGGATTTCTGATTAGAGTAGGCCATTCAGAAGGAGCCCATACAGTTTTTCTTTTTAAATTTTTCTCTATACATGCATGCACAGAGTCAACTGGCATGTAGGTATGTCCTGACAATAAATAATTAATCGTTATACTGTTAATATTTTTTGAATGTGATAGGAAATATCGCAACATGGACAAAACAACATGATTTTTGTTTTGTCCAGGACAGCTATCACAATAAAGTGCTATATCATGAAAAGTACCTATTTCATCAATAGTTTTTAAATATATAAATATAATGGAAGCAATTTCATTTGAGCCTCTTTTTCCATCAGGCTCAGACTATAGATAACAATGCCCATTTTTTGTATTACTCTCATAAATACTTAAGTTATAATAAGCTAGTTTTCTTGAATAAAACAATAACATGCTGTTGTGACATGGAGTGTTCAACACTTTTTGTAAATCAAAGCTACAACACAAGAATCCATTTTTCCCACTCTTCAGTTGATCTTGTTTAAATACTTGATGTGTGAATTTTTTTTCTTCTATATGAAGTTCATAATTGAGTTTATCTTCTTGTGTTTTCGTTTCATTATTTGTAAAAACCTCACAAAAAGTGCATTTATCTTTTTTTGGTACATGAATACCTATGTTGTATTCAGTATTCCACCTTTTTTTAAACACACCACAGGACACTGATGGCTTGTTTTTTAACTTACAGTCTTCAATATAAACTCTGTACACATGTTCTAAACTATCAAAATCATTTGTTATATATTTTTTGCTAGAGGAGCCTCTACAGTAGTGGGATGGGACAGCTGGCAACATTTGCATAAATCTGTCAACATTTCCCATTATGACATTAGAGGTTTTATTTTTCGCCGGCTGTTTACCTCTATTGTCATGTTTAGAAACATAGAGATCAATGCTGTTATCTCAATAATTTTTCTGAAATGTCCAGTGTACTAAGAATAAATTTTCTACATACTTCTTTTTCAACATTATCAACAGAGAGAAAATAACGAAAAGTGTAAGAACGATTAGTTTCATGTAAAACATAAGTCCTTTTGATGGGGGACTTTTCCATACAACTTAATAAATAGTCTCTTTTTCTATTATAATCATTTAGTTCATACCAATATTTATTAAATATAGCCAATCTTTCAGTTTCACTGATGGCTGCACACTCTTTTTTGCATTTGGTTTTACAAACATTTTCTTTCATTTTTTTCTTTTTGACAACTTCAAAACTATTATCTTTCTTCATTTTTTTATAGCTCTCACCTATGGCACGTTTTTGTTTTTCATTTAAACGAACATCAATCTTTCTTTTTTTTTTACTAGACACTCCAACAATCAGATCTTCAGATGGGACATTTATATCAATATCAGAAATAATAATATTATTATTACTATTTTCAAAAGCATTATTAATATTTGCATTGATTTGTGTCTCAGAAATAGTATTTATAATAATATTATTATCAATTTCATCAGCTTCAGAAGAAGATGGTAGTGGGACATTTATAATATCAATATCGGAAGTAATAATATTATTATTATTTTCAATACCATTATTAATATCTACACTGATTTCTAACTCATAAATTGTATTTATATCAATTCCATCTTCTAATATAACAAACCCATCAATATTGTTGATATCCATGTTGAATGCATAATTGTCAAGTTCGTTAAGAAGAGATTCATTGGCAAAATTATTGACATTTATATTCTTACTATTAGATTGTTCATTAATAGTAATATTATTATTAGCTTGTTCATGGACAGTAATAATATTATTAGCTTGTTCATCGACTGTAATAATATTATTATTAGCTTGTTCATTGACAGTAATAATATTAATATTGTTATTATTACTATGAGGTTTTGCATTATGGCCATATTGTGTACTAATACTAGTGTTACTCTGAGTGTTACCTTTAATTGCCATCCGCATTAGCTTTAGAGTTCTTAAAGTCATGATGGAATAAGAAACAGGAAAATGATTAAAGCATAGTGCAACATTAATAATTAATAGGACGTATACACGATTATTAAAAACTTTAAGTTTTTTATAATCGTGAACGTTAACAACTGTCCGAAACTCTGACTGACGAAGTTATAATTGTTAATGATAATAATATTATTTGAGCGGGAACTTCTATGATAACAGAATAATATTACAGTCTGTAAGGGAGTAATGGGAGTAGTAATGGGAACAATTGACGTTTAGACGATATTAATAATATATTATTAATGTATTGATAATAACACAGTATGAACAGTAGAAATACATTAATTACGAAATTGTTACCTACCCAATATATATATAATATTTGTGTGGAGAACGCCCTTTTTACATACTTATGTTTTACTTTTATTTTATTAAAAGGGCGCCTCAATATGGCCTCAATTCAGTATAACCGTTATCAGTTAAACACATTTCTTATCTAATGAACACCATTTTTACAGATTATGCGCCTAATTTTTCTGAAAATTTTGATACCAAAAAGTAGGTTATATTAGTAACCATATTATTATCAACCATGTATCATAGTGATGAAATTGACCAAGATTCTGGGGAAAATTGTAAACCTGAAATCATAAATTATTATAATTCTACAAAGGGCGGAGTTGATACTGTTGATTTTATGAAAGGAAATTCCACAGCCAGAAATAGTAATCGACGGCCAATGACAATTTTTTTTTCGTTGTTGAACATTGGTGGCATAAATAGCCTAATAATATATACAAATAATACACGACATATTTTACCAAGAAAAAATACATCGCTGATTTAGCAAAGTATTTGTTCTGCCAGAAATGAAAAAAAGAGTACAAACTCAAAGTATTCCGATTTCAATAAAAAATAGAATACATGAGATTACTGGCACAAAACAAGAACAATTTGAAAAACAAGTTAAGGTACCAAGGAGATTTGGTTATTGTGATTGGCGAAAAAATAGAAAAACTAAAACTGTATGTGGAATATGTGAAATATATATTTGCAAAGAGCATAGTGGACAAACAGTATGTGTTAACTGTCAAAATTCAAATGAGGAACATTCAGAATAATATCAAAACCATATCGTATTCAAACATATAAATTCAATCAAATTATTTTTCATTTATTTTCATTTTAATCTTAAGTATAATAGTTTCATTAATACCAATTTTTATTGTAAAATATAATAAATAAATAAAGTATAATTTTTGTGAATCATTAATAAATGCATTTGTATGCAAAATGTTAAAAAAACTATGAGATATAAGTGAACGGTCAAAAAGACCTTGTGCGACCACATGTGTTACATACAATGATGCGACTCATGGCGGGTTAATAATTTTGGCGGTAAATGGCGTGTTTTGTATCTTGATTTGGCTATAATTAATTTTACAAATCTGGCAACACTGCCCGCTATACCTATCAACCCGCGGGACCAGTCGCGAGAACGTTGCAGAGGTGACCAGTTGTCTAACACTTTGCAAATCAGCACCGATTCGCCATCTCGTATCATCCCTTCCTCGTTTATTGCGTCTCCTGCCCTTCGTATTTTTTTTTTTATTTTATACCTATTTTTAATTATTAAATTTTTCGCTTGTTACTTTGTTAAAGTAGCAGTCAAGGCGAAGCTAAGTGTGGTCGAGGTGAGGTACGTAAAAGTGCACTTATGGGGTGATCGGGGGTAAGTCACCAACACACGTTCTCCGGTCATCGGCGGTAGGGCCACGGGATCGCCGACCGCGAGAAACTGTGGTGGCATGGCGGGCCCCGGGCTGCTTCTGTCCGAGAGTGACGACGACGACACGATGACGGAGCTGGCTAGCTGTACCGGAGCGGACAACGACGCCGTCCCGAAGGTACCACTGACGATGACTGCTGCAGCGTTGCACGAAGACGACTCGAGACGGTTGCCACGGAAACAGCAGAGCACACGTCGGGTGAGTGATGGACGACTATAATTATTATATGGTGGCTAGGAACCATATAATAGTAATATAGTCTTCGTCGCTCGCTCCGATGAGCTTTGGTCACCGTATTGATCATTTTGTTTTAGGTTGGTTTTTAGTCTGATAATATTCTTATCAGCAAATGGTGGTCCAACTTTGATTGATACTAATGCCAATTTGTGAATGTTGTTTAAATTATTTGAAAAAATTGTATTTTTTAACTTTCAACAGTTTTAATTTCTATAGCATATTTAGGTTTAAATAGTTGGTTAATTTTGTTACATTGTACATATCTTATAATGTCTGATTATTTAAGTAATAATGCCAGGAGTCTGACGGGTGATGTAAAGCGTAGATATTTAGACAAAATTGAAGATTTAGGGTCAAGAGATCCCTATTTTTTAATGAAGGACTCAAGTATCATCTGGACAACTGACTGAGATTTTACCACCAATCGCTTACCCTGACATTTTCAATTATTTAGTTTTGACCAAAAGTTTTTATACTTTAGAACAGTTTAAAGCATATAAAAGTTTGGATGCTTACTACTTTTTTGTGTCTGGTTTGGTTTTTAATACTAAATGACTTGCTTTAAATGATTATATTCTTCTAGTTGCTGAGTTAAGTAAGTTTACTAATTTAAACTAATGTTAAATACTAAAATAAATAGGTTTACATAATTTATATATTTTTTTTAACAGTAAATCCACCACACTAATTAATGTTAGCAATTAATTTTTGAACCCCTTGAGAATTTTAAACTTCATAATAAAACCCATTAGCACTCCACTCAATATTTTTCCTCTAAAACTATCATAACGAAATTTGATCTTGCAAAAAAAAAAAAATGTAGGTTATTTAATCTGTTTAAAATTAATATTTCACTACCTGCTTAGCAACTGTATTTTTTTTACGTAGATTAACTACAGCTTACTGCTTACATTAAAAATTGTCCTTCTCATCCTGTGCTTATAGGTGGCTCATTCTCAAAGAATAAACGATGCAAAGCTTTTGCCTTGGCTTGTGCTGAAGAAGTGTGGATGTGTTTGGGGTGCACATTGCACATGTATGGCTGACTTAGGTGAATGTTGTTCTCATGTTGGAGCACTGCTTTTTTATTTACAATATGTGTAACTAAAGAAATCTGAGAATGACAAGTCAGTGACAGATGTTTCAGCTTACTGGGTAATTCCATCCAATCACCATGCAGATCCCAAAAGGATAAGCGAAATTAACTTTGACTGTCCCAAATCTATGCTTCTATAGAAATGTCTACAAAAATGCAGGCTAAAACTCAAAATTGGTTTTTATACAGGACTGGTCGTATAACTGCATCTAGGGTAAAAGACGTCTGTTCAGTAAAATCTTCCTATTCAAATAAATTTCTCCTAAAATCAATATGTTATCCACTAAAAAACACATTTAAAAGTATAGCTGCCGAATGGGGGATTAATCATGAAGAAAAAGCAAAAGCTTCATACATGGAAGAAAATAAAAATCACCATATAAATTTTTCTATGAATAACTCAGGTTTGGTTATAAATCCAAGTTTTCCATATCTTGGAGCCAGCCCCGACGGTATAATAAATTGTGATTGCTGTGGGAAAGGGTGCTTAGAAATAAAGTGTCCACATACCCTAAATGAAGGTGGTGAAACAAGAAGCATGTCTTATCTATTTAATGGTCATCTAAGTAAAAACCATCAATATTACTATCAGCTTCAAACTCAAATATTATTGTGTGGCACTCAGTATGGTGATTTTGTAGTTTGGTCACCAAATGAATGCTATATAGAACATATCAGCATTGACCCTGATATACAAGAAGAAATATTAAATAAATCTAAATGGTTTTTTTATGAATCCATTCTTCCAGAATTCTTAGGAAGGCATTTTTCAAACACTGAAATAAAACGTATAGAAACATATGATGAGACTCTTACATATGAAAACTGTGTCTGTAAAAAAAATATAGGAGGCAAAATGATAATGTGTACAAAAGAAGGGTGTCCAAATCTTTGGTACCATTATAGCTGTTTAGGAATAAAACGTAAGCCTTCAACAAAAACTTGGAAATATGCATTGTGTCAGTGTGGGGCCAGAGTGGCGCAGTGGTCACGCAGTTGACTACGACTCACACAGTCATCGGTTCGATTCATAGCTCAGTGCAAAATAAATTTGTGTGGTTCTACGAGATCACCATTTCCCCCTGCTGTCGTCCGATTGCGTCATCTGGTTTCCAACTAGGTCCCACTCCACTGGGAGTGAAGACCGCACATGCCTCCTCTTGCAGGAGAAGGGGGGGTAGTATCAAGCATATAGTGATATATACATAGATAAATAGATCACATGATCTCCCTACAACCCACTTGTGATAAGCATTGACGAAGACCTAGAGGTCGTTTCAATGAACAAGTAATAAAAAAAAAAAAAAAAATTGTGTCAGTAAACATTATTATTATTATTATTATTATATCAGTATTTTCTGTAAGTATAAGTCACATTATTTTGTCATAACTAATTATTTAAATATAAAAAAAGTAAGTTCTAATTTTTTCGTTTATATGTCTAAGTAGAAAATTACACAATATATTATAATATCTGTTTATGCCTTTATTTAAAGTTAAAGGTACAACTGAATTGCACATATTTGTCAAAATACAACACACGGTTACAATAGAATCCAAAAGACATGTTCTATCATCTTGGTTTTTCATGGTAGTAATTTGAACAGGACCATTGAGAATTTTAAATTTAGAACGAGTTAAACCAATTACTCGTTCTACGTGTATACGTACAGAAGCAATTTTTCTGGTTTCCTCTATAGTACACGGATGTAATTGAGCTAGACCCTGTGTAAATCTTGGAGTTTTCAAAGTTGCGCAGTGAAATACAACACTTTCACTTATTGTAAATCATCGATCAGCTAATACAACATCACCTGGAAGTAATTTATTTAACAAGTTACTATTTTCAGTTATATATTTATCACTAGTCCGTCCACCCCAACCTTCAGATATAAAAAAAAATACTTCCTTGAGGTGTTATTGCAATTAAATACTTAACCATGTTTTTATTTTTATATGAAGACCAGCTCTGTGCCCTAGCTTTTAGGTTAGATGGTTTCTCTATTGTAATTTCAAAACAGTCTAAAATTACAGCAACAGAATTCCCAAACACATTGAAAAATGTAATTGGGGCATAGTACTTCTTAAAGCTTCCCTATTTGGCCGATAGATTAGTCTTTTAAACATGTGCTCTAATAGTATGATGACTTTTCGGAATATCATAGATGCAGTTGCACATGTTCAATCTGCATTTATAGTAACCACGGTTGTATCACAGATTATATAACTGCAGACCGTGGTAATTTCATAGAACATGTTGTTCTCTGGCAGTAAAGTAAAGTTGTTATCATCGCACGGGTGATATAGATAATATTATATATTACTATAATATTATCTATAGTATTTGATATTAGTGATAACAATTGTATTGGTGTTTTTACTTTTTGATCTTTTTTTAATTGTCAAAGTTTGGGTAGTAAAACCACGATTATAAAACATAATGAGTGAAAAAAGAAAAAAAAAACATTATTTGATTTATTTCAAAAAAAACAAAAATATAGTGATGATACTAATACTAATACTCATAGTATTGTTGAGAATTCAAAATGTAAGTAAAAAACTAAGTAAAAATGAAATGCAGCAAATGCAAGCAATGTCTGCGCATGCCTATGTTTTAGCGAACAATATTCGTAAAACATTTTCAACATCTGAATTAAATGCTATAGTCTTACACTGGGGTGGTAAATTGCTCCCTGATTTAACTGGAAAACAAACTGTTGATAGATTGCCAATTGTTATAACTAATAATGGTAGTGAACAACTATTAGGTGTGCCTAAGTTATTACAAGGCACTTTGAAAGCTCAAGCAGAAGCTATTTACCAATACCTAGTTGAGTGGGGATTAATGGATCACGTAAAAGCAATGCGCTTTGAACACTGATTAGTATAGAAACATACAATTTTATAGTATAATATTTATTTTAATAATTCAAGCATTTAATTTTTTATGCTTTAGGCCGAATCGGCGGTACATGTGTTTTACTTGAACAATGGTTGGAAAGAAGTTTATTGTATTTACCCTGTCGTCATCACATTTATGAGGTAATTTTAAGAAGTGTTTTTGATCATAAATTTGGTTCAATATCTGGACCAAACGTCCCTTTACTTCAACGGTTTCAATTAGTGTGGCCAAAACTTAATGTTAACAAAAAAGGTTTAAAGCCTGGACTCCAAGACACTAAAGTTAGTCAACATTTAAATAATTCGACTGAATGTATTTTACGATTTTGCATGAAAAAATTTGCTGAGATTCAATGTAGGGAAGATTACAGAGAATTTCTTGAACTAACTGTTATATTTTTAAATGGTATTCCAACACGTGGAATCTTTTTTCGAGTTCCAGGAGTAATGTATCATGCATCATGCTCGCTGGATGTCGAAGGCCATATATTGTTTAAAAATATTTATAGTTCGTCAAGAATTTAAAATAAACAAAAGAGAATACGATTCAGTTCGTGATATTTGTATTTTTATTGTTCGTTGCTATGTTAAAGCGTGGTTTAATGCGCCAAATGCTTGTGTTGCACCACGCCAAGACTTACAGTTTTTGCGTGACCTTTATGCTTATAAAACAATAGATGAAAAGTTATCTGAAGTTACACAAAAAAAATTTATCAACCACCTATGGTATTTGTTTCCAGAGTCAGTTGGATTTGCATTTTTTGATAGTGATATTTTCTGACGACACAAAAATAAAAATGGTTCAAGCTTTAAAACAAGATAATAATGTGGATGGAGATTCAATTAATTTAGAAAAACGTTTATGTGTAAAATTAAATGAAATACCTAGTTTTATGAATAAGAAGATTGAATCATTTATTTCAGATAAAACTCAAAATTTTTTTTAAAAAAATTCAATATAAATATTATAACTTTATTGAAACATCGCCGTCAACTTGGGAGAACAATTTAGAAGACAAACGGGGTAAAGAAATTATAAGCCAATTAAAAGTTGTAAATGATACGGCTGAACGAGCTGTTAAATTAATTGAAGATTTTAACAAGATTGGTTCAAAAAATGAAGAACAGAAGCAGTATATTCTTCAAGTTGTCACGGAATACGGGCAACAATATTCAAATTCAAACAAAAGCACTCTTCTGGAAAAATTATAATATACATGCGTGCAAAATAAAATATTTATTGAAATTCATTATTACTAAAAATTGTATATAAAATTAAAATTTGTTTTTCCTAACACAATAAATATTTCTAATTTAATTTGTTCGTTAATTTTATGAATTACTCAATTTTTAAAAAAATATTAACAATGTTCAACTTTTGAGAGCTTTGGGACACTGGTTAAACTAATCTGATTATGCTCAAATTTTGTATGAGTCATCTTTATATATATTAGAACGGGGGATCGGTCACAAAAATTTAAATATTAAAAAATAAGGACCACCCTAACCTACGACCTATTTAAATATGTTAAAAAATCAACAACTTATATGATGAATTATAGGCAAGGTTTAAGTGACATAAATTCAAATGTATCTTTGGGGAGAGAGGATAAAACAATTACAAAAAATATTTTTAAAAAAAGCATACATTGTAAAACAAATATTAGTTTCTGTGATAAAAATCTAAAAGGTTAATGAGGATCTATCTCCCATATTTTCCGTGGGTAGGCCCCTTAGGCTGGAGCATTTTTTTTCACCGGGGCTTAGGGCTCGCCAATTTTTTTTTGCACCTGGGCGAAAAATGTCTAAATGTGGCACAGCTTGACATACCGATTGAAGCATACATATTTAATATTATATTATATTGTTGTTTTATTTTAGTACCTACAAGATTTTTATATAAAATATTTTCCCATGTAAATTTTGAGCTCGAGGCCCTCGAATTCGTGAAACCCTGGACAAATGCCCCGCATTGCCCTCCGAACGCTGGCCCTGGGTATATTAGTTTGGTCCTGTTAGGCGGTCGGTGCTGCTGATAAATTTCTAGCAAAAAATTGACCCAAGTTGAGCTGTTGTACAGCGAGCTAAATAAAACTAATTTTGTTTTATGTCTAGGTTTGTAATGTCAACTTTTTTACTTGGTTATTTTTAATTGGGTACTTAACTAGGGGAAACTTGAGTTAAGCCCCCCCCCAACATACATTTTAGCCCCCCTGTCATAATTCCTAGTAGCTAATTTTTTTAAATTTAATTAAAAATATTGTATATATTTTTTTTATTAATATCTTGGAAAAATGTTTATTTGTTTTGGTTATCTAATTATATTATTGTATGTAATGACCCTGTGTAAGACGTATCATGTCGGGTAGTGTTTACTTCATTAATATTATTTGTCAAGAAACTAAACCCAAAAATAGTCTTAAAAAACGAATGATTATTAATAAATAGTAATGACGATTAAGGACGACAATCACTGTGCCTGCCGGTCGCATATAGGGGCTATATTTAATTTCATTGATGTAAACTATAAACAAAGTGAAATTTTTATAAACCAGTATAAGGGAATTTCCGGAACTTGTGAAGGAACATTCTCAGCAATGCGTCGAATAAACAATTATATAAGGTCAACCATGTTACCAAATCGATTTTCGAAGTTATCTGTCATAGCAATTACAAGAGATTTGTCAAGCAATCTAAATAAAGATGACATTTTAGATAAATTTGCCAATACTGAGCGAAGGCTTAAGAATTTAAGATATAGTATCAATTAACTTAATTATAAAATCAATTAATTAATATAATGGTATTCAATTTCAGACTATTATAGGATTTCAAACATACCAATTTAGTCGATGTGGATATTTGACTATTATTAGGTTTAATACGTCATATTCTGTAACAAGGGTTCCATTTTACTACTACAAGATTATACCGTCAGAGATAGATAGGATTCGTATAATCCATTCCATTCCTAATTTGGGTAAGTATAATGACTATAAACATAGTTTGATTTCAGTAAAAGTTTCTCAATCGTATGATTATACAAACATTTCAGATTTGGAACATAATATTTACAATCAAGTTCACGTTTTCGAGTAAGCAAATTACTTGTTTACATACATTTGGATCATGGATAATGAGAGTATGAATAGAGGTTCAAAGGGGGTTTTTGTCGTGCAAGATCTACTTTTGAGCGCTATAATCGAAGCAAGCTTATCGTAAATACATCACACTGATATCATCATCCCTCTCCAAAAAACCTACTTTTGGAAATTTTTTCGTAATAATAAGCCGACCAGTGATATACCAATGTTCAGTAGTCCTTAACGGTGAGTTTATTAATTGTATCCAATATTACCTGTAACCGCATCACCAGATACCACTTCAGTCTTCCTAGTTATGTATAATATTTTTCATTTAATTGAGTGTATCAACATATTCTACCCGCGGAAATTTTTCTCCTGGACCCGATTCTCTACCAGGGGCTTTTCTCTTTAACTTACGCGATACTCTATCTTGGCCGCTCTGGTTCTTATTTAGAAAATCACTATAGTAGATCCATCCTAAGAACTGTACTCGTTCGCTCATCCAAATGACCGAGCTCCGCGGTTTCGCACCCAAATTTCTCCTTCTATACCAGTGTTGCCAGACGTGGCTATCGCCACGATTTATCGCCAAAGTGGAGATTTTCAATAATGGTTTGGCGGAGATTTTTGACTTGTGGCGGGTGGCGGAAAAGTTGGCGATTTTCAATTTGAAGTGGCGATTTAATGGCGATTTTTTCCCTTGTCCAAATTGTATTCATAAATTTATTTATTTCAAAATTATTTATTATTTTACTGTTTTTATCATAGAATTGATAATAGAAAAATTATTATCTATAATTTTGCGGGCTTGTAGCGACTAGCGAGTAACGAGTAGGTCTGCGGCGAAACGGTCTACGGCAAAATGGTCTGCGCCCTGCGGCGTCGCGGCGAATCGGTCGCGGCGAAATGTAAGGTTCGTGTACTTTGTACTTTGCTCCCCCATTCCCACACACAAACACGGGCACTCGGCAGTCGGCACACTAGACACTAGTCTAGTCTTAGTATTCTTGTCTATGGTCGCCAGTCGGCACTCGGCAGTCGCAATCATAGATGAAAGATAATACGCAATACATTTATACATATTCGCGAATCGCGATACTGTAGTGGTGACATAAGACATTGGAACATCGATTATTAGTTATAACCTATTCAGTTTTTACTATTAACTTTATTTGAATATACGCAATTCACTACAACTGTACATACACTGTACATACTGTACTACATATTCTGGGTCCTGTTAGTTGTTACTCCGACCATTGCGGCATTGCAATCACTTAGTACACTCACTCAAAACCCAAATTACTGGCTGCAGCAATTTATAAAGTCAAATCATGGGCAAGACAGAGAAACTTAGGAAATATCGGCAATGTTGGGAATCAGAGAACTGGGCTAAAGGTAATAAATTTTTTTAATTGTAATTTTGAATTTTAATGTACTGGTACCTATGTCTGTATAACTAAATATTAATGTATAATACTTTAGGATGGTTAAGAGAAGCTGATGCAGATGCAAATAAAATTGGTGAAGCATTTTGTAAGATTTGTCGGTCATTCCTTAGAGCCCATTTGACGGATTTACAAAGACACGCGAAAACAAAAATGCACTGTGAAAAAATGAAAAAACTTAATCCTCAACAGAACAATCAAACCGTCTTAAGTAATACAATTATAATTACCAATGAACAAAAAGAGTTAGACTTAAAGTTGTCCCTGTATGTTGCAACTCATACTTCTATCAAAAGTATAGATCATCTTGGAGAAATACTAAAGGTTATTGGGAAAAAAAATAATTCACTTCTAAGCAATTTAAAGTTACATCGAACTAAATGCTCAACAATAATTAAAAATGTGATATCACCATCATTACTAGAAGAACTCATTCTGGATATAGGTACAACTCCATTTTCTTTAATTGTTGATGAATCAACCGATGTTTCTGTAATTAAGTATTTATGCTTATGTGTGAAATATTTCAGTACAAAAAACTTATGTGTAAAAATTGAATTTTTGAGTATAATCGAAGTAGATAAATGTACAGCTGAAGCTCTCAATAATCATGTCTGTAATTATCTTAAATATATTGGTCTGGATATAAGTAACTTAGTAGGTATTGGTACAGATGGAGCAAATAATTTATGTGGAAAACATCACTCCCTCTTTACACTGCTAAAACAAAAAAGTCCTAACCTACAAATTGTTAGATGCATCTGCCATTCCCTCAATAATGCATTGTCAAAGGCCACTGAACAATTCCTAGTAATATAGATTTTCTTTGTAGAGAAAATACAAACTGTTTCATATAAGCCCCACTTAGACGATTTGAGTATAAAGCCACGTTTGATCTCTTAAATTCATCCAATAAAAAGTTACACCAGTTTAAACAGTTATCCGGTACTAGATGGCTGGCACGTGCATATGTGGTTAATTCTATACTAGAGAATTGGCTTGAACTAAAAACTCATTTCTCCACGGTCATTAATAAAGAAAAATGTTATACGGCAAGAGTTATAAATGAAATGTTACAAGACAATATCAATTATCTTTTTTTATTAATTATTAGACCTATACTAAACGAATTCAACCACTTAAACTTAACTTTTCAAAAAAATTTTGTAGATATTGGTAAATCATATGATGATATTACAAGTTTGTTCATTTTTTTAGCTAAAAAAAATGATGAACGATTCCATTGTGACGCTTGGCTATGATAGTGTTATTGAAAATATAGATAATGATTCAGGCCTATAAAGTTTCAAACATTGTGATTTTTTGGCATAGGGATACAATGAAGGGTCTCTCTAACATAGTTATATCACAAGAAAATAAAAATAATATTCAGAGTAGGGCATTTGTGTTGGCATAGGATACAATGAAGGTCTCTCTAACATAGTTATATCACAATATTATGGGCATTTGTGTTTATAAAACAACTGTTATACGAAATTAAAAAAAGACTACCTGATAATCTGAATCATTTTAGAAAATTGCAATTATTTTCTCCTTTACAATGTCTAAATCATTACATCCAAGCTTCATTGAGTTTACCTTTTAATTAATATATTCTTTAAGCCTACTGAACTTGAGTTGTATCTATTCAGTGGGATAAATTATAAAACTGTTGAATTGGACATCATATTTAGCTAAAGATAAAATTGTTGACAGCTATCATTTTTGGGCTGAAGTTTATACATACCAAGATGCAGGGGGCACTTTTATTTTCAGACAATTGTCTGAATTTGTCCTAAAAATTCTTGTTTTACCTTCCAGTAATGCCATAGTTGAAAGAACTTTCTCAATAATGAACTCTATAAAAACTAAATCCCGTAATAGGATTTCTATACCTATGTTGAGGCATTATTGAGGAATAGATGTCATTTCATTTCTACTAAACATTGTTGTACCATGTTCACTCCAACAAATGGCATGTTTAAAAGATTTAACTCAGACATTATGTATCCTAAACCTAAACTTGAATCAAACAATAGTCATGATGATAATAATACTGAACTTGATGATGATTTAATTAATTTGTTTAATGAAGTTTGATTGCCTGATTTTTATGATTAAAATGTTACTCTTTTATTAATATTTTGACTATTATATATTATGTTTAATTAGGTATTCTAAGGAAAGATACAAGTTATAATATTATTTATACATTTATTAAATGATAAACATTGTTATTTAAATATTTAAAAATTGATACTCATATTGTTTTAAACTAGTCTAAACCATTTGTAAACAATAAGACTGTTATTGTTAATTTTAAGGTATCATGTAATCAAATAGTACTGTACCTCTATGAAAGTTTTTTATTTATATTTGTTGTATTATGAAATGTTACTCTTTTATTAATATTTTGATTGACTACTATATATTATGTTTAATTAGGTATTCTAAGGAAAGATACAAGTTATAATATTATTTATACATTTATTAAACGATAAACATTGTTATTTATATATTTAAAAATTGATACTCATATTGTTTTAAACTAGTCTAAACCATTTGTAAATAATAAGACTGTTGTTGTTCATTTTAAGGTACCATGCAATTAAACAGTGCTCTACCTCTATGAGAGTTTTTTATTTATATTTGCTTTATTATGAAATGTTACTCTTTTACTACTATTTTTACTATTACTATATTATGTTTATTTATTCTGAGGAAAGATACAAAAAGTTATAATATTATTTATACATTTAGTAAGCACTAAATATTGTTATTTAAACATTTAAAGATTATGACAATATTTAATATTTGATTTACCCAGGTAATATTGTGTATTTTGTGTTTACTTATTTATAAAATTTAATATAATTACTGCACACTACCAACTGACGGATTAGGTACCTACAGAACAAATTTATTCATTCATATTTTCAACCACAGTTATAATTTTATATTTATGATAAATAATGAACAAATTGTTGTTGAAGTTGATATTTTATAGTTGGGTGTAATAATATTTTTTTTTTTTTTTTGGCGTTTTGTGGCGTTTTTTTTCGTTAATGATTTTGGCGGTAAATGGCGTTTTTTGTATCTTGATTTGGCGATAGTTAATTTTACAAATCTGGCAACACTGTTCTATACCATCTAGCAGCGGCGGCGGCCAGAGTTGACGGCGGCCAGCGTTCGGAAATGTTTAGTGGTGGGAATGCGCGAGATCGGACAAATTTTTTTCGCCGCCCAGTAGCGTCTTAGAATGGACGGATAGATAAAAGTATTTCCCCATCATTATTAAAAACTAGTACTCTAAAACCATTATTAAACGAAGTGGCTATTTTCACGTCCTGCCCCTCCTGATTGGACATAATATTAATACTGACAGTGTATCTGATATTAATTACCATTGTGGTGAGTCATCACCAAAATACTCATTCTCATCGGTCACACAGCAGCTGGTTGCCCCCCCCCCCCACCCGATTTTCCCCGATACCGCGTATTTTGCAAATGTAGGTACACTCAGAACCGGGTTGCTCTGATTGGTCCAATTTGAATTCCCACTATTTTAATATTAATTTTATTTTATCACACAATTGATAATATAATATTATTATTTTTATTATTTAAAGATATATTTAGATTTTCACATTAATGATAAGAACGTTACGCTTTTTTACGTGTTAAATATAAATTGTTAATTTAACTATTGACTATTTTTATATTGTAATTAGTACTAATTACATTTACAAATATTTTAATTATTGCTTACTAATTAATATGGTAAATACAAATTATTATTTCTTATTTGTGTTGGCTACAGCTGACTATTTGTATTTATATTGCATTAATAATATTTTTATAAATTATTAAATAGGAGGTTTTTTTAAAATCACTAATTAAGTACTTCGGAGACTTAAATTGCCAGTTAATTTTAGATGAATTTTCAGAGCATGTTTTAACTCTTCGAACTGATATGGAAAGTAAAAATGATGCACAACAATTTATTAAACAATTTGGAAAGTTTGATGATAGCAACTGGATAATTGGTAATAGGATCAACAAGGGGAATAATTGTCAGTCAGTATATTTTTGTTAATTGATTGATACTTAAAGTCTAAAGCATGCTATTATAAACTAACAAAAACCTTGTAATTTAAATAAATTAAATAATTTTTATTAATTTTTTCATTTCTATTTTATATTATACACTACTAGGTACCTAATTATTAAGAACAAATCATAATTTACAATCACACTTTGACTTAAACAAAATAATAATTTACACTAAAAAATATATAGGTGTATAGTTACCATAGGTTTCTTATAAAATACTATACATAAAAACATTTATACCAATAGTAGTTACATATTAAAATGATTTAAGTTGACCTGCATTGATATTAAATTTATTTAATTTTAATTTTTATATTACATGAATTAAAAATATTTATATATTATACTTATACGTCTTATTGTATAACAACAACTTAGATACATTTATAGTTATTTGGTATTTGTTCTGTTTAAGGTTTATAATGCACAAAAAATGGCTATGCAGTTATAGCTCACACAGAAAAACCTCAAACAGCAAAAAAAAAGAGAACTGTGAAGGATTTATTGATATCTTAATAAGAATGGTTACTAAGGGTTCAAAAAAAAATGATGAATATTTAAAAAGAGACCCCTCACTTAATACAATCATCAAAATAAATCCTTTCCATAAGCATAACTGTGCTAGTGCCGATGCACTAAAACGTTTATTTATTGACCCAGATGTGAAAGCTATTTTTTGGCAGTATTTTGCTGATGGACTTTCCCCTTAAAACAAAACATATCAAGGCTTCAAACACCACTAAATTACATTGTGAAATTAGCAAAAGGTGCAATAAAGACCTTGGACTGTGTATAGGCTGTGGCATAAGTATTTATTTGAAAATGATGGTACTATAAAAGATCCTTTTGATAGACTAGAAGAAAAAATCCCAGAATATCTTAAACAAGGTTTTTAATTATTTATATATGATTTATATGACGTATAAACATCTATATACATGTCACAGTATTTAGTTTTATCATAGAATTTATATATTTAGATTATATAATTTTAAATTGTATTTTCAAGTGTAATTGTTAAAATAAACAAAACCACTCCTTGGGTAGTTCTAATCGTTACATCTTTAAACCAAAGAGCTCAACAATTACAGAGCAGCTCTGAAATAATTGTTCTCGATTCAAGCTCAAGCTGTGATGTTTCGATGGCCTCAGTAACTGTAATTTTAACTGCAACTAAAGGTGGTGCTGAACCAATTGGTATTTTGGTGCACAGGCAACAAACAAGTATAACATACGAAAAAAGATTTAAAATGCTTAATGAGCATTTTCCTAATTGCTTTGGAGGATTAGAGGTAATGATAAAAATAATGAACGATGAACTGGTAATGGTTTTAAAATTATATCAAAATTATTTTTAGTTATTGTAACGTCTCCTCTTCACCTGGGGCTCGCATCCTTCGGTGTCGTTCTGTTTATATTAACGTGGTTCCGGAAACTCGACCTCGGTGTGTGATATTATTACTAAGGATCAGGGTTACCTTATGTAAAGCAAAGTACTCAACGTATATATATATATAAATATGTAACTGTTATTAACTATCGAATCTTATAATATAAATAACATCAAATAATAGTTATTAGAATATATACTTATAAATTAGCTTCACTGAGGGTTATCGATCGGGCCACGGGGTGTCGACGTGTCGTAGGTGCTGATATCCGATGTGGGTTAAGCTGGCCGTCCACAGGTCCTCGTCAGGTAGTTGTCAGCCCTGGACCATCCACTATGATTCTTGACTCTTGACTTCTGACTCTAGCCTCGTTCCCTCGACTATCGACTGCCACTACCGACTCTATCTATTTTCCGCCAGGAGTTCCGGTCGGTTGTCAGCTAAACATCGCGTCAGCATAATATATATTTCATACATATAATATACACATTTTCCATTACTAACACTCAGCATATTAGCCGTGCTAAACGTAGGGAGTTATGTACGATGTCGATGACGACATGTTCGTTACATGTACCCATTGTCTATTTAAATCTGGACACCAGATTTGGGAAGTCATGCAACTGTAGCTGTGTTTGTGGTAGTGTTGTATTTTTTTGATCTCATGTTCATTGTTCATCCAGTAGCAAGGACCTCCAACCTCCTCCGACTGTATTTTCTTGCTGGACTGTGAAACATGAATTTTGTAGGCATACAAACACCAATAAGGCACCAAGGCAATGGTCATGCGTATTTATTAATATTAACAATATATGTTTATTACATATTATTGCTTGAAAACTTCTGGTTAGTGGAGTGAATTGTCGTTGGCTCTTCCGTCCTTGAATACCGACACCCACGGCTGTCTTCACTTACCCCTTTCAGTTTCCTCGAGTTAGTTATAATATACCAAGACATATACATAATATTTCAGTATTGAGACATTTTTTTTTATACATATATTAGAAAATATAAATAGTGTTTAATTTCATACAAATTACATTGATGAATCACATTCATACTGGAAATATAATATTATTATAAGGCCAAAAAAACATTGAAAGTAGTAATTCTTTTTTTTTTTTTTTATCAATATTATAGTAAATGTCTATAATACATTATAAAAGGTTTAAATTCAAAAATAGAGTACAAAACAATTTACAAATATTTGTTTTGTTCAACTTAATATATAATTTAAATTACAATAATAATTTTTTTTTTTTTTTGATATAATAATATACATTTAAATATTATACTCAAGTTATGTCTAGTGTTTTAACTAGTACAAAACTATTATTATTAATTTATATTAATTAAAACAGTATTAGTTAACTATAAATAAACTCAACAGCAGAGCATCAATTTTTGGTGAAACTTGGATTGGTTGTTAATCCAATACGCAGTATTTTCACATGAAAAATGTCTTTTTCATATTTTCTTGGGAAAAATGTTTAAAATTCACATTTCACACGAATTTAAGAAGTATTAATTCGGTTAATAGGTATCTATTCTACTGTTTAAAATCTTCTGTCACAATGGCTTGCGACTCTAATTTTCACAATGGATACGGCATGGCCTTGAGTATTCTGAAGAAAAGATGGCTTTGTGATTCTGAAATGATTGACTTTACAGGAATGGAGATTTTTAGTTATTTTGAGACAAAAGATGATACGCATAAAGATACATGGGACAGAGCCCTCTCAAATGTATGCCCCACGAAGGTGGATTATACTTCTGAGATCGTCTCTGTCTCTGATTTTGATACGTCGTTGATGTTTTTACAGCCAGTGAGGATCACTGATTGGGATAAGTTGCAACGATATGAAAAGGAAGATAAAGAGCGAAGGAGAAGGAGGAAAAAGAAGAGAAAAGAGCTTGACGAACAAGACCCCGAGTTAAATGATGTTGATATGGAAACAGCTTTTCACAGATATTTAATGAAAAGGACGAATAATGAATGTCATGTAAGCATAGTAGACTTAGGGTTATAGTTCGAGAAGAAAAACATCCAAAGTCTTTGGGCATACGTGCGATCAAGTATATGTAATCCTTTTAACTGTTGTTCACTATTTAGTGTCCTTAACATAGAAGGTGATTTAATTGTTTGAAAATTTCCACATTCCATTAATTTAATAGGTGAAACTGATAATACACATTCCTGTCTATACTTAAAAGCACTTTTCGCTTTAATTTTTTCTGCAATAATTTCGTTCAACTCCCCTAATTTGAGTAGTGTATCGAGCATCTGGTTTATGATTAATGTTTATACTTGTACTGTAAACTTCAATAACTGCTTCTTCACCAATAGGTAAAATGTAAAGTTTGAACCTCTTACAGCCATCATGTTTACAATACATCTTCAGCTTCATTGATTAAATTGTATTCAATGTGGGTACCTTAAACTTTGAATATAGATTGTTTTTTTTAATTTAATGTTTCATTTATACAATTATACCTATAGGTACTTTATTTAAAATTGTTTTATTGATATATAATATGTACATATTACATACTATAAGTATTAAGTTTATACTTGAAATTGAATATTAATTATGTGGTAACTACACTATTATTAGAGTTTAAAAATGTTTGCTCAAAGTTTTTCATGTGGTTCTGAGTAATACAGGGTGTCCCGTGAGGATTTACTCATTGCGATATCTCCTGAAATAATGGAGATATCGTAATTTTGTTTTTTTATTAAGAATCACAGAGGTAAGCACTATATATAATTTATTTTAAATTTTTTTTTTATGTTTTGGTAAAAAAGTTAAAAAATATATTTTATATTCTGAGCGGAGCAAGGAAGCTAGTGGTTTTACAATGGTGTTTATTTTTTTATTTTTTTTATATCCTGCATACAAAATTTCTACCAGAAGGAGTGCTTTGATTTCAACATATAGTACCTTATCTTTTAGAAAATTGGACCAAGATGGTACTTTAGAGAGGTCATTTTTCGATTTTCTCAATAGTTATTTAATGCCACGGGAAAAAGTACTGAAAAATTACGAAAAACCGCTTAAAATGGGATTTTTATTTCTAACAATTTGTTTATCACCGTAGCAACGAATAAAAAAAATAATAATTAAATAAATAAAATAATTAATGACAATATAAAATATACAGACTGACAAACCGTCTCCGTTCAGAATCGTTTTTCTTATACAATGATATTATATCATTGAATTCAACTTTAATACAATCCATTAAACAATGACCAACTTGTAACCTACTGTACAGCTGAGCGACATCCACTTACCTGCCTTTTTTTTAAATTAATTATTAAAAAAAAAATTGAAGATAGCCACTTTGTAGAGTTAATTTTCCTAAAAATATTGACGTCGCAACATTTTAATTTCATAAATCTCCTGATTTTTAATAGTTTTTATAGTTTTGAAAAAAACTGTGAATTATTAATTGATAGCTATGGTAGGTATGTAGCCATGTAGGCAATGAGTAAATCCTCACGGGACAGCCTGTATAAACTAATATTGTAGTCTAGGGATTTTTTTCTGATTATCATAGACAGTATATTATTATTGTGGAAAATTAAATTTTAGTAAATAAATAATTGTTTTTGTTTGTATGAGTTTTTTCTATTTAAGTGAATTTACATATATGGGGATGTGGCTACAGCCCCTCTGACATTTTAGCTCTAGTTGCGCCACTAAGCATATTTTTAATATTTTTTTCAGTATATTTAATATTAAAATTGACAAATTTATAAAATTTAAAATATTTATTCTCATCATACTATTGCTACAATTGAAAAAGTGCTTCGACCGATGCAAATTAAACTTGTACACCAATTCAATCATCTTCACATTTTTGAAATCTAACAACTTTAAAAGTACCTTAATTTTTGTCAGGCGTATACCTAGCTATTTTTCCTATGATCCACGTGTGTTAGACAAAGGCAGAAAATCACCGCTTCCAATCCCCTTAAACATATTTTATTTTATATCACTTAATAGGTTGTGCTATTTATTATCAAATGTGTATATATTAATATTACTACCGCTTTATATACACATATATTAGTATCATATGATTTAAACGAAATATTTGAAACACAGTATGTACGCTTAACTACATAATGTATATAAGAGGATTTCAACAATAGACCTTATACTAATAGACTGGCCTTGCCTATAGAGTAGCCGGTCAGACATACAGCAGTGATGTACAGTAAAATCACATCAGTGCTGTCATTTTCCGTCGAGCACAATGTACAATAATATTGTACAACGATACCGTACTATACTCTGTCCCACGAGAGATCATGCCGGTTCTGCGCATCTCCCTGCGTCTCAATACTGTCGAAACTGGTTACCCTATGACAGGGTGTGGCGTAGGGTAACCAGTTTTGGTCGGTGCGCGGCATGATCTCTCGAGGGACAGAGTATACTATCATTTATCTTTTTTTATTATGGGAAATGGGAATTGGGAATTGGGATGGGCTTTCGTGGCACTGTAACTACTAACTGCTAACTATTTTTTTTAAAAAATAACTAATTATATATTTATATAATAAACTCAAGTACCCAAAATTAGCTATAAATCGCTTTTGTTTATATTTAATTAACAGACATGAATAATAATTACAATTAAATCATTATAATACATTTGAACTTATAATGTAATATAATATATTAATATTCAAAATAATAAAAATAAAAATTAACTTATCCAGAAAACAATACCTGTTAGGTACTTTTAACATATAAAAAAGATATTAATAAACATAATACTTTACAATATTAATAATAATAATATACAATTTGCAAACCCAAGTATAAAAGTATTATTCATTATTGAATAAAATTAATTTGGTATAGTCCAGTCAATGAATGACCCAAAATGAGGTGTAGAGTGCGTGAGCAGGTAACTTAGCGATTCCTTCAGAAACTTGTTCGGGGGGCTTAGGGTATTAACATACTAAAAGTCCTGACACCTAGGTGGTGAGCCGGAGGGGGGGAGGGGGGTTAAAGTTGCGCTTTTTGGGTTTTTCGCTTATATCTCGTAAACGGTGCATCGGAGGAAAATTTTTTTAGATAACAAAATAAAGCTCATGAAATTATCTAAAACTTTTATATCATATGTTTTTTTCGAATTCACAACCGTTTTCGAGCTACACCTTCGAAAAAAGTAGAATATTACAAAAAAAAACCATTTTACCTCACTATATTCATAAAACAATCCATCATATTATCTACCATATTCGTTTTTTTCATTTTTTACTCTGCCACCCCTTTCCTTGGATGACCCTCCCTCAAAAAACATCTAGATTAGGGCATTTGTGTTTATTAAAAAATTAATATATGCATAAATTGAGTTTTAATTTTTTTTCAATTTATTCTTGCAATAAAAATGTTATACAACATATTATATTACATATTCTACTTATTACTTATATAAATTTAAACTACATCACCATTTGTTCATAAAATCATAATTTCCATCCAACTTCTAAAAATATTAATAGCGATTATAAACTTAATGATAGACTATAATATTGTTGGCTAGTAATAAATATAGATATAAATATATAATAGTAAATATTTGGAAATGTTCGAGTGTTCAACTTGTCATTCCGTTACCCGTATGTCTATATAATATTACTAGCTGATCCCCGTGTACTTCGTCTCCCGATAAATGTATCAACTCAATATGACTCAAACTTTGTTCAATTCGTTATTCAATATTCGGTGTATGGTGTTCAAAATTTATCTTATCTTTTCCGTTGCCCTTAATAAAAATTCTGAATCGCAGCAGTACATTATCAGGTAGATCGCGGACCCCGTGCTGTTTATACGGAAGTGTATGATTTAACTCTAAAATATCAAAGTTATACCAAGTTTATTTTGATATAATACGGTGGATTAATATAACAAATTTGGTTGCTCGTAAATATCGCAACTCTTAAAAAAATTATGATTGTTGAACTCCTTTTGGGTGTAACTTGCTACGGTAAGTGCAACTCAGCCACCTTGGTAGGCAATGTTCAATATTTCGATTTGATGCAAGCTTGTACCTGATCTGCCCGAATAACCAATGGCAACCAATAAATAAATGCTAATTTCTACTGTAGACTGTAACCAATGGCAACTATTAATAAATAAAAATAAAATTTCCAATTTCCATCGTGAATCTCAATGTCCCTGTTTGAGCACCTATTTAAAATGCGAATTTTCGCAAATCCTTTCTTATTGCACGGTGAAAATATGAGAAGAACCTCTATTCCAAATTTCAAGTCCGTACGTTGAGTAGTTTTTGAGATACAGCGATCAGTGAGTCAGTGGTATTTGGATTTTATATGTATAGATAACTAATTATTGACTAACATTATCGGACTTTATTTATGCCTAAAACCTGCTCCGTGATATGATATAATATGATTGGAAAAAGTGGCTGCCGGAAAGCAATGCTGACTTGTTCTGCAGAGTGCCTCCACTGCCAAGGTAAATGCATGAACAGCGTGCCTGTTGAAGGTGAGGACGATGAAGAGCAAGAGGCACCCATTACTACAGACAAAGATGCAATGGATGAACAACCTGGGCCCTCAAATTCAAAGAAAATGAAAATATGATTGCATGTAAAATTAAGAATTACTTGAGAACTACTTATCTGTAAAATAAAGTGTGTATTATCATTATTTTTGTCTGTTTTACTTCTTAAAAGTGTGGCCACATATATTATTACATAAACGAACAAAGGTTGTGGGTCAAGAATATGATATACCTATACATTTTCTGAAAATTGCAAAATGTTATGAAAGTTGTAAAATAGCTATAAATTTAGGCAGCTTGGAGATTAACAATTAATATATGTGTATATATTCTGAAAGTGAATTTAAATATCTACAACTTCTTTTCTATGCATATTTTTAGTTTATGAATAGGTTTAGACAATATGATGGATTGTTTTATGAATATAGTGAGGTAAAATGGTTTTTTTTGTAATATTCTACTTTTTTCGAAGGTGTAGCTCGAAAACGGTTGTGAATTCGAAAAAAACATATGATATAAAAGTTTTAGATAATTTCATGAGCTTTATTTTGTTATCTAAAAAAATTTTCCTCCGATGCACCGTTTACGAGATATAAGCGAAAAACCCAAAAAGCGCAACTTTAACCCCCCTCCCCCCCTCCGGCTCACCACCTAGGTGTCAGGACTTTTAGTATGTTAATACCCTAAGCCCCCCGAACAAGTTTCTGAAGGAATCGCTAAGTTACCTGCTCACGCACTCTACACCTCATTCCTTGACTGGACTAGTAAGTTTTTTCCTAGTACCTAAATGCATTTTTTCTTGTTGTTTACCAATGCTTTTTAATTTAAGGTGTACATACGAACTTATAATTAATGTTAACAGTTCATCCCTATGATTAGTAAACAATGACTGGCCACTAACATGATTATCCATCCCACTAAATACAGACCCATACACCTCTCTTTTTGTTTCTAAATAAATCTTATTCATGAAATTTTTAGCAAATATGTATTTCAAATCTTTGCATTTTATTTTATTTTCGATAACTTTACATATATATGATACATCTTTGCTTGGTTTCACTAATGCATTATTTCTATCTTTTAATTTAATTAAAATGCTATTATTGGAGTTATCTATTAAATATGTTTTACATATATCACAGTTAATTTTTTTGGCGACCTTTTTTGCAATAAAACCCGAAGTATAGTCTGTCACACCAGCAATAAATGGAGATAATTTTAAATAAGTTCCAATATAACTGTGATCATGATCATCACTTTGTGTAAATTCTAAATTATCATTACATTCATCATCATCTAAAAGTATAGAATCAGATTCTGATATAGTTGTATTTTTCAACATAGATTCTGGAAGGCAGTTGCCATATTGTGAACCACTCACATGATGATGAACCAATAGTTTTTTTATAAGAAATTTTGAACTCCTTACAGGAAGGATTGTTATTATATCCTCCTCTTGACCTTATTGAACTGAAAAATGTTTCAAGGTGATCTTGGGAGAGCTTATATTAAAGAATATATTCAATATCATACTTTTTATTTTTTAAAAATGTTTAGTAGTTAATAAGATTTTTCAAACAACAGACAATACCTACAAATCCAGTTTTCCTAAGTGATTCAACAACTTTTTGACCGCTAGACAGTATCAGGCTATGGACATATTTTTAAAACTTGTTTGTGAAATCTAAGTATTTATCAAAAATTGATGGACTTAGTGCTAAATTGAAAGGAGATTTAGAATATTTGGTGCGACAGTTTAAAATATCAAATGCATTGTTCATAATCATACAGAATTCTGCTGTTGATTTTACATTAGTGAATTCTGAGTCTAAGGTCTCACAAAATGTTAATGCACAGCTTACACTACTACTAAGAACTTGTGAAGCAAGCTTTACGTTCATTTTTTCATTATAATAGTAAATATGTTTTCTGGTTAAATTTGTTGCTGCTTTTAATCCCTCTTTTTTTTCTTTATTATAAAATTTTTAATATGATCCCATTTAATTTCCTTATTATTTTCCCCAATTAATACTTTTTTGTCACCTAATGTATTACGAATAAGTTTAATCATATGACACGGATCATAAAATAAGAACACAGGTTCTTTAGATACAGGATGTGGAAAGAAAAATCGAGGGTTATTTATATTTAAGTTAGCTCCCAATTTAGTGCACATACTTAAATTAGTGTGTGCTCCATCAAAAGTCATGGAATTTACTATTACACCAGTATCATGTAGTAATTCTAAACATTTTTTAACTAAATTTGCAAGTTCACTAGAATTTAAGCTCTTTACTAAAAAATACCCTAGTGGCAGTTTCCAATTACCATTTACTGCTACGATTAAAAATACAAGAGCATTTGTGGCATGATTAACATTATCTTCATCTAAGTCAGCCCCGGATCCCATATCAACCAGTCCATGGAATGTTTTACCATCAAATTCAACTTTATCTTTTATAGACATTTCATCTAATACCAAATTTCCAATGACAGTTTTATTTTCTGCTACTTTAAGTTTTAAAGTATTAAATGTTTCTTTTGTGAATCCAGGTTCCCCATTTATTACATGATACCACTTATTTAATGTTCTGGGATGAAGAAGAACGTTTAAAAATTGTTTATACAAAATTGTAGGCTTTACTCGAGTAATACTGTAAAGTAACAGCAAATTTTTTCAATTCATTTGAAAATGCAAGTTTTTTCCCATTCAATTTTCTTTCAACAATTTCACAAAGACTTTCAGAACCCATAGACTAAAAACATCAGTACAATATAATTGTATTAAGTTATAACTATATAAGTATAATGAAAAGGTTATATAAATTAACATATCATATTATACCATACACATTAAACTAAGACACTAAGTAGTATAAGTAGTACTATATTTTACTAGTATTAGTATAACATATTTTTATTGGACATAAGTTTATTATACAGATAGTAAAAAAGTAGGTAGGTATATTAGACTTAATTTTATACTTCTACTAATAAATCAAATACAAATATTAATAAGAAACACATATTTGTTATAGCCCCAGTGGGTGCAAGAGGAAATTATATTATGACAATAGTTTATGATTTATTAGTAGACGTATAAAATTAAGTCTAAAATACTTACTTATTTTACTATATTTTTTTTGGACATTAGTTTATTATTCATTAATATAATTTACTTGTAACAATGTAGAAGCATTTTCTGATACCTATAAGATTTTTATTTTCTAAAACATTCATTAAATCTTTTAATGTTTTCACTTTTGTTGTAAGTCGTTTGTTTTTCTTTTGTAAATTATGAATTTTTTTAAGTTTTTCATTGTATCGTTTTTTAACAAATGATAAATTTCTTTCTGTTCTTCTAGGTGTTTTAAAATTTTCAACAGATAAATCATTAATATATCTGGGAAACAATTTGATTTTTTTAGAAGTTAGTGTAGGTGATGCACTGAAAATATAGGTATACATTTACAATATATGTGTTTAGTAAATAAAATAACATCTATATTCTTACATCATATTTATATTTTAAATTTTTTCCTCTGGTACAACATGGCTAGATATATTTACAGGTAATTCAGTATTTAATTTATTATCTTCTGAATGATCCTCTGTAATATTATCAAAAGATAGTTTTCTCTTGCACCCACTCGGGCTATGACAAATATGTATCTAAATTAAATAAACAATAAAACAGCTACACAAATTACTTACGCAACAAATGGTACAGCTTTTTTTACTAAATATCCGCTTTCATTGAAACTTTCTTTGGTAAAATGTTTATCACAAATTCTATGCGATGGCAAAATTTTATTAATGCATCATGCATCTAACCAAAGTCTTTTTAATATTTCATCTTTAGGAAATCTGTTATAAATATGGTGATTGGTGGGTAGATTAATAATTGTTATGACACATTTAAAATTCTGAATTATAAAATAATTACTTGTGTAGAGAGACATCTGAATGAACCAATTTTACAAATACAGCATTTATAGCCCATTTTGACAAATAAGAAATAACGTAATATAGAACTATAGAAGAAACTGTATTAGGTATAGTTCGTGAAAAGTAAAAACAAATATTAAATAACAATCTTAAAATTGTTACATTAACTCTTTGAGGGGCAAAAATTTCCTTTAGAAAAAAGACCCATGTGGGCAATATGTCTCTTTACCATAACATTTAGTACCTACATATATCAAAATATTGATAATGATAATAAATGATGAAAAACGCGAGAAATGATATCAGACCAGCGGCAGTGATATTGTTTGATGCATGTATAAGATGATAATAAGGTGATTGGTATGCTGACCATCATCAAACAAATATTAAAAATAATTTTAAAAGTGGTTAAAATAGTAACCACCGCACCTGAACGGTAAAAAAAAAAGTGGTTAGCATACTAACCACGGCCCCTCAAAGAGTTAAAACATGTACCGGGCATGTATCCGCATTGATATTATACACTACATTACTACAATAATAATTATTATCGTGCAGTCACAAGTCACACAAGAAGAGCGATGACCGCTGTACGTGTATGAATGGCCAGTCTATTAGTATAAGGTCTATGATTTCAACGCACTTTATTTGTTTTCTCTTTCTGGCCCACAACATAGACAAAACTCATTTACGCAGAATCATTTTTTCTATGTTTTTAAGTAATCTTAGAGTAAAATCATCCATCACAAAAAAGATAGAGAATAATACAGAATATAGTAACTGTAGTATAATAATATAGTGAACATACTATGGTGAATAAATACGGCTAGTATACGATGTATGATTAATATTATCTACCTGTTATATCTGATATTTTGTGTTGACCAATGAGCGTCCGACGGGTCAGGTGTAGTGATGTACTATACCACCATGTTCCTTGTATACCTAGAACAGAAGAGTGGAGAGGGATCAAGTCAAAGTCTATAAAAGGGCGTGCTTCAAATATTTAAACGCCTTTAGTCTTTAACCAGTCTAAACTTCAAAGTTTTAGAGAATAACTACCTATACCTATACCTAAATAAACCTATACTGCAGCGACGTCATAAAAGTATGTACTTAAACTTAATTTACATAACTAATATTTTTACACATTTTTATATTATTCTGTACGTCAACAAATATAAATATTTAAGAAATTTAAATTCTTGACTTAGGATTCAAATAATTTATTAATTTTTGAATTATTATAAAGATCATTAAATAAATATAAATTCAACGCTGACGATGCAGTTGATATCGTAATTTGTTATATACCTACCTACCTAATTAACTTATGTAAAATGTTATTAATTATCGTACAATATGTTACTTAATATTTTAGAATGGCAAAATTAGTATTATCAGAAAACAGTTTGTTTGGAGAGATTGAGCAGAGGGCTCAATGGGGGCCCATTACTAAGGGCAGTGACGAAAAGTTGGCCACAGCGCATTGCGTTTCCGAGGACTTCCAAATGGGAAAATGCATTGCCGTTAACTTCAAGTAATTTCACTTATACTTTATAATTTATTACTTATATCATTCGTAACTTTATTTACCAAACAGTCAAAATTAATTATTTAATTATATTATTATAATATTATTATTTAATTATATATTTAAATTTGCAGGCTGAAGTACGGATCCCTCGGAGCCCTGATGGACCAAAAGGTCAGAGTCCGTGGTGTGGCGGAATTAAAACCTAGTGATGAGGGACAACAATTGTATGTGTTTTACCTCGTCACAAAGGTTTTATTTCACCATAAACCGACTCTCCAATCACTGGCCGAGTCATTACTCCTGTTACGGGATCGATTATTGGATTTAAGTACAAATCAATTAATCATCCCAAAACTGGGGTGTAACTTGGATCGGCTAAATTGGTATCAGGTGCGTGGCCTACTTTTCGATACCTTTGAGAGCTGTGGTATGATGACCATCACAGTGTGTGACCCAGAACACGTAAGAATATTTTATTATTTATATTCATTTTATATTCGTCGTAAATAATTTGTTAGAAATTAATTCACTGTTGCATCTTTAATGTAATTTATTACAGTTTGAAATACTGCCGCATAAACTAAAGCCCCTTAGTGAGGAAAGTATGGAGATTTTTGGCACTTCCAATAGCCGCGGACCTGCAACAGCACCTGAAGTACTGGTACTACCCATTGATTTGTGTAATGCCAGTACAAATGAAACATTTTTAAAATATTTAAATCATTTCAATTTGAAGGCCAAGTAATTTAATTTTATATATTAATAATTTGTTTTTTACTATCTATATTGCAATTCTATAAGAGTAACTAAAAATGTTGGTTTTAATTTATTAATATAAATTAATGGATAGCGGATTTTGGGCCACATTAAAGCGGGGTCAAGTTGTGGCCAAATACCTAACTTCAAAAATAATAATTTTTTGGTTGTACGGCGAGGAAGACTCATTTTTCACAACTTTGGAAACCCAAATCGTCGAAACCTTGTCATTGGGGCTAGGTTCGTCGATTTGGGTATTTCCAAAGTGAGAAATGTTACACTATACTGGGTTTTGTGCATTGCTTAGATCAAAGCTGGCAGACCATGCACAAAACCCAAGTATCAGAGTATGCGACCCGAATATGTAAGAATTTTATATAATTATTATTTTCTAACTTTCACTAATTTATACATTGATTCAGGTCAACACAAACGATGGTGGCATCAAAATGGCCCAGAGGCAGGGCCAATATCCGGTCATCGCCATTATTGCAGACTACGTCTGGCAGTAATCAAGTCGGCCAAGTACGTGGTCGTGGCGGAATAATGCGTGGTCGTGGTGGGCTAACGCGTGGTCGTGGTGGGTTAATGCGTGGTCGTGGTGGTGAGGTACTGAGGTCCATGGACGCAGTGGGCATACTTTCCCACCCTCCACGACAATTTACGCAGAAGCCTTCAGGTCGATTGTGTCAGTTGGTTAGTTTTAATAATAAAATATTTGAAAAATTCAGCTTTATAATGATATTATTAATTAAGAAATAATCTATAATATTCAATAAATATTGTATAAATATTTAAATAGTTCAAATGGCTACGACATCGACGAATCCACAGGAATCCAGTACACAATCGTGCGGGGCGTTTGGCCATATGCGGCGTGTCCTAAAAAATGTATGTACCTATATACACAATTAATTTAAAATTATGTATTATTTATTTAGATTTTAAACTTCAATGAACGCTTCGTAATCCACAAGAATAATTATACAATATAATATTTTACTCTATGCACCACTGCAGTTTTTCAATGTTATATAACACAAACAATTTTTTTTTTTAACCCAATAAACGAAAAACGAACAACTTCACAAAAAAATAAAATATGATATCAATAAACATGATTTGATAATAATAAGTGGAGTTCGGAACTTAATTCACATAAAATGTACTAACTATGCATGCACTTCTGCGCTTAAAAAGTATAAATATGCTTTAAAATATGCACTTATTTTCTTTTTAATGAAACATTTTCATAAATACAAATATTTTACTAAATTAAACATTACAAAAATACAAATATTTTAGTAAACTTAACATAATTGTCAAGTATTATAAGAGAAAATAAGTAAATAACTTAAAAAAAGTTATAGAAATAAAATGTATTTTCTTTTAAAATGTTCCAATTAAATTAAACATCTTTAAAGCCTACATAAAAATTAGAAAAATTTGGTACCTATTTGAAAACGATAGTGCTTACAATAATACCTAATGAGAACTCTCAAAATGAATATATGATTATTTTTTTTTACTGCACCTTTTTCAAATTTTGTTATCAATTTATCAACAATTATTAAATATGTTCTAAAAAAGGGTGGTCAAGTGGGTGTCACTCTGCTGTACAGTAGGTTACAAGTAAGTCACTGTAAATGAATTGTGTTAAATTTAAATCCAATGATAGAATATCATTGTATAAGGAAAACGATTCTGAGCGAAGACGGTCAGTCAGTCTATGATATTTTACTAAGTGTATTTGATGATAATATTGTGAATAAAATAATGAATTTTAGTAGTAGGCATAAGTATTTACTATAGTTGGTTTAATTCATTTTTCCCAAAAACATTACATTTTAAAATGCCATTGCGTGTATATAAAATATAACAATATACTCTAAAAGTCTCATATACCAACAAATAAAATTTCTAAATTATAAAAAAAAAAACTAAAATCGTTATTCTTGGTTTAATATATTTTTTATATTTTTTGGTTACAGTATGAATTATTTATGAGAATCTTTGTTATACATTTTCAACCCTTAGTTATAAAAACTGAACATTTTATATTTTTTTTAATTACAGTGATTGATAATTTTTGAGATGTTGATAAATTTTGTCAAAATTTGAACTTTAAATGCTTATAAAAAAAAAATCGTGCCTATGTATTCTCAATATTTTTCAACTGATATTCTATTAATATATCAGGAACCCTGTATTTAATTTTAAGACTTTTCGGCCCACCAAATAAAATTTTATTGACAATTATAAAAAAAAAAACTAAAAAAATTGAAAACTGAAAATGTCTGTAAACAGCTCAAAACAAATCAAAATTTTTTCAAAATTGTATGGTGTGTAAAAAATGCTTATATAAACATTCAGTCAAAATTTCATGGATCTACTGTCATTTCTTTTAGAGGTACACCAAAAACCAAAATCCGGTTTGAGTAAGAATTCCCGTTTTTTCTATAATTTTCTATTTGTTTTTCATGGTACTTTTGAAAACTACTGGAAAATGTTTACTTTTGACCCCCCCAAAGTACCAACTAGATTCACTTTCCTATCAGAAAAGGTACTATTGAAGAAAATCTAAGCACTTTTACTGTCCTAAAACGTGATGACAGACATAAAAAAAAAAAATTTTAAATTTTAAAAAAGAAACACTCATCATCGTAAAACCAATACCTACACATTCATCGCTTCGCTCAGAATCTAAAATGGTAAAATAAAGAAATATGCGATTAAAATTACCAAGTCATTGAATATGCAACAATATACACTATAAACTTATAAATTATAATATCTTTTTCGTTGTGTTGTGAAAATAATTTCAAGCTTAGGACTTAGCTATAAATAACCCAATAAAAACATGCAATTGCAACAACATCCGAGCTCTAATAATTAGCGATGAACGTATAATTTGTAATATAAAATAAAAATTAGTCAACAGACATATACAATGTTTGGATATTATGTTGTGTGGAATATGATGTGGCATAGCGTATCCAAGATCTGTCTTCGTAATATTTTTCAATTGATATTTTAGAAATATATCAGGAGCCTTGTATTAAATTTTTACACTTTTGGCACAACAGACAAACCTTTATTGATATTCATAGAAATAAAAACTAAAAAAACGCGTGTGTCTCAAGCGACCCTCATAAGATGTGAAAACATATATTATATGAGCTTAGAATTTGAAGGAAAAATTTGAAAATAAATCACAAGTCTGAAAATATTACCTCCGTAGAAAATTCGCTCGGCAGGAATTCCGATCTTGACCTACCCCCAAGGTTGACGCCCAGTCTGACGTCATAATTAGTCTGTTAGTGGCAAAAGAATTTTCGGTGTTTTTCGAAAAATTTTGAAAAAAAAATTACAAGTCCGAAAATATTAACTCCATAGAAAATGTGCTCGGTCGTACCTACGAAAAAGGTAACGCTCGAAAATTTACACTGTCATGCAAAACGATTTTCACATCAATATAAATATAGGTAGGTACTTTTGATTAAAAAAGTTTAAGCAAATTCAACCACGGTAGGTATTGGTTGTTGGAACTGAACTACTGAACAGACAAAACGCTGGATCATGGCGTTTGAAATGTTTACTTTATTGTTTAGCAAACAAACATTTCGAATTTCTCTGTTATCAAAGTTTCAACGTTTACCGACGTTATAGAATTTCCTAGCGTTAACCGATAATTTTGATAACGGTTTCAAGCCCTGGACCATGTTTATTGTTTGTAGTGTTTATCAACGAAAAACGCCCTCGAGAACTACCAACGCGCGACAACGGACGATGTACGAGTACGACGCGTTCGTAGTTGCGCGCCTGCGCATGTGATCAAATAGTAATATTGTATGTATTGTATACAATACATTTTTAGTTAACTGTTCACGTTGGTTGTCAACGATGAACTAATTTGACGCTCTCGCCCGCACTATGTTCGATGTCCGTGATCGTAATGAAGCCACGCCCCCTGAGCACAGGCGGCCTATCGTTGCGTCGCGTCGCACCGAGTCTCCGCCAATCAGCACGTCGGAAGCGCTAGCGTTACGCGAAAATGGTAACGCTCGAATAACGCTCGAAAAAATTCACTGCCCAAACGGAAAAGTCTGAACGCCACATAAGATGTTTTCACATCAATAATAACTATGAATATTACAAACAGCATTAATAAAAATAATGCTTGTGCTTTTATTCTATTTTTATAATTTAACCGGGACAATAATAACGAGTACCGTTAACGACGTTTAAAATATGTGTCATAGTTATAGGCACATTATAATTTATTTTTGTAATGCCATTTGTAATTTCTTAATTTCTTATAATATTACGTTTTGTAAAATGAAACCATATCAATTAGGACGCTAAACGAATTATTATTGTTTCTTTTTAAATGTCTTAAATTGATGTTCCATGTATTTTCCAAAACACTTTTGGTTATTGATATTAAGGTAAATTTAACTATAATTATCAATTTAATTACAAAAGTGAGTTAAAAGTATTTTGAATTTTCACATTTTTGTATTGTATCAACTTGACTAGGTACCTAGCTCTATAATAAAAATATTGAAAAAAACAACGAGATATTAGGCAGGCCCGGATTAATTGGAATAATGGGCCCTGGGACAAATAGTTAAAATGGGCCCCATTAAGACACCAAAAATGTAACACAATAAATAACCTAAAATATTTTTAAATTGTTTAGATGTTATAGATGAAAAACATTCAAAAACAATAATTGTAATTATTACACATAATTATAGTATTTAAAATTGTTGATATCCACTCATGTATTTTTTTTTTCATTCATTGTGAAATTATAAAAAGGTGGGTAAGTGGACAGATGTTGCCAATTTGGGTCTTTTAAAGACTAGATCTATTTTTTTTCAGATGAACAATGTCTGGTAAAATCTAATCTGGTTGCTAGTCGTTTTTTTTAGTTTTTTCACAAAAAAATTGTGGTTCTTTTTGTTTAAAAATGAAAATAAATGTTTAGTGTGTTGTTTATCATAGCAATGTTTTTTTTATCTCTTATAATTAATCCAAAAAAATTAAATATTATTTCATCATAGATAAAAAGATGTTTTATTCATGCGTTTTGTAAAATCATAGTTAATTATTTAATGGGAGATACCGTACCACAGAAAATAATAATGTCGAACGAAGTATTCTTATCTATTTCGATTCTTGATGTAAGTGTGCTGAATATTAGGCTTAATGATAATTAACTACAATAATTAGGATAAAATTAGGAATTGTATTATTTTCATAGCTAAATAATATTATTTATTAAGGAATGATAATAATACATTTAACTATAATATACACTAACACTACCAGAGTCCTATACAGTTTGATAGAATGATATAATGTTGTTGTGTCTCGTTCTCGTACTCGTAGTTCGTACTCGTCGTCTTTAGTAGTGAAGTGACTGGTTAGCGAATTTTGTTAAATTTTTAAAGTTTATTTTGTAAGAATGGGAACATTACAATATGCACAAAATTTAGAGTAGATTGGTACGGCAGAATGAATTAAGTCATGGTGAAAGACGTACCAATCAGCATTCTTCTAAAGCATTTTGTAAAATATGTTGTTGTGAGTTGCGAGCCCGCCGTGCAGATTTATTAAATCATATGGAAACAAAAAAACATAAATTGTCAATCAAAGTTGTACGCATACATACACCAAATACAATCAAGCCAACTATTACTTCTTTAAATACATCTCGTGCTGAAGTTGCACTCGCTATGTTTGTAAGTGCACACTGCGCATTATTATCTGTGGATCATTTAGGTGCCCTTTGTAAGTCACATTTTTCTGGTACGAATAATACTGCAGATAACCTCCGTTTACATCGTACCAAATGTACAGCTATAATAAAAAATGTACTATGTCCATACTTTAAAAACAATTTGAAAGACGATATTGGAAACGGTCGTTTCAGTATTTTAGTGGACGAGTCGACTGATATTTCGGTAATAAAATATTTAGGTATTGCAGCAATTTATTATAGCACATTTCAAAATAAAATTGTGACTACATTTTTTGGACTTGAGGAGCTTGTTGAATGTAATGCTGCAGCAATCGTAAAAGCAATATTAAATGCATTAAAATCATATGAACTTGATATAAAAAATGTTATAGGTATTGGCACTGACAACGCTAGTGTTATGGTAGGAATAAACAATGGTGTTCATGAGATTTTAAAAGAAAAAAATCCACAATTAATTCTTATTCGTTGTGTATGTCACTCCTTACAGCTAGCCACATCTTATGCTTGCAGCGAAACTATGCCTCGGAATCTGGAGTTTCTTATTTCAGAAACTTACAACTGGTTCAGCAAATCTACTTTAAGACAACAAGCATATAGACATATTTTTAAAGTTATGAATGATGACCATGAGCCCTTAAAAATCGTTCAAGCATGCAACACAAGGTGGCTCTCGATTGAATCAGCGGTAGTTCGTATTATAGACCAGTGGCATGAGTTAAAATGTCATTTTGATGTAAGTAGATGTAAAGAAAAATGTTACTTGGCTGAAATGTTGTATACTATGTATTCAGACGAAAAAAATCTAGCATTTTTATTGTTTTTAAGACCACTATTAAGTGATCTGCAACGGGTGAATAAATTATTTGAGTCTAATTCAGTTGATCCAACTAAATTAGTGAATGAATTAGTCACCCTTATTTGCTCGATTGGAAAACTATTTGTTATACCAACATTTAACTTTAACCCAATAACTAAAGATTTTAGTAATTTTTTAAATCCAAATCCATATTTAAGCTATGGTTTTGAAAAAAAAGTTGAAGAACTGCGGAATTTAAAATTATTAACAAATTTGGATGAAAAAAATTTAAGAAGTAGATGTATAAGTTTTGCTACTGTATTAGTAAAACAACTCCAACAACGGCTTCCAGAAAATTTAGGTATTCTACAGAAAGTAGAAATCATATCTCCCAGTAACGTCTTACATCAAATAAAAGACAACATAAGTCCATTATGCGAGTATTTTGGATTAGATCTCATAAACATAGAAAAAATTGAAATGCAGTGGCGTAAAATTAATTTGATAACATGGTCCAATACTTCCTCTGCTGGAATATTTTGGGCAGAAGTAAAAAAATTCAAGGATGCTTCAGGTTCTAATCCATTTGAAGAGTTGGCTGATTTTGCGTTCATGCTTTTAGCTTTGCCATTTTCTAATGCAGCTGTAGAAGGGTATTCAGTCAAATGAATCTGGTGAAAACTAAAACAAGAAACCGTATGGGATCTAATGTATTAATATCAATATAACCTGCAGCTTTGGTTGCCTACCTCACCTTACAAGGCGTATTTATTTAAATGAGTCAGAGCTCACCCACAAGGATCTCCACCCGATCAACCACTGCTGGCAATATTGCTTCTGTAATGTCTGGCAAGTCTACTAAATCAGCCTCTTCTTCTTCCGGTCTGCTGACCCTTGATGTTTTTAACAACACTATGGCTGAACATCAAAGAACACAAAAAGAAACCCTGGCCCAGTGCAAACGCTTGTCCGAATCTCAAAATGCTCAATTTTCTGAACTCAATGAAAACTTAGGTCGTCTGTCCTCTCAGGTTGTTGAATTAAAATCTGAGAACGACAAACTCCAAAAAATCATCTCTAGTCTCAGCAATCGAGTCCAAGATCTTGAATCTGCAAACAATAGTCGTCGTATCTCCTAGGCTGACACCTTTCCTAGCATTTTCTATGAGTTCACGGAACGTGAGCGCTGTTCTCGAAATGTCATTATTCGTGGTGCTCAAGAATCCTCTTCTTCTGTATTAGAAGATAGAGTCTCTAATGACGTCCTAAAAATAACTGAGGCTATCAAACCGTACTTTCCCGAATTACCATCTGACTTTAAAGCAATAAGGCTAGGCAAACCCAGTGATCGAGGTCACCGACCACTCAAGGTTTTCTTCCAGTCTAAAGAAATAGCCCAGAAACTTGTCTCTGACTATAATACAAATATTAGATCTTCTCATACTGACAATATGCGCCATCCCATTTCGGTTACTCGTGATCGCACTCCTTGTGAGCGTGAAGCAATTCGTCGCGTATACACTGATTTGGAAAATCGTAAAAAGAACGGTGAATCTGACTTAGTAATCAAATACAGAGATGGACTCCCCTATATTGTACCGGCCCGCAGATCATCCCAGGACAGACGCCATCAAACATCGAACTCGGCCTTTACCCAATCAAAAAACTAGCAGTACTCGACTTGTCGCTGCCTAGGCAAGCACTCCTTCGCCTGAACAAAACTGGAAAAAATGACTCATGCTACTACTCCTGCTTAACTGATCCACTCTGCAATTGTATGTATAACATTAAACTTCGTTCTTCAAATTGCTCACGCTGCTACACTGCTAAACTAACTCTAGATTCTTTCTTGCAAGACTTCACTAACCTAAAAGCCTCATTTTGTAAACCTAATCATTTTTCTAATATTTGTAATAATAACTTGTGTGATAATACCCTTAATTCTAACCTTAAAATATTCTATCAAAATGTTCGTGGCCTTAAAATAAAATTAGTTAGCCTCAGATGTTCTTTCCCCATGTTTCACTTTTATGATATCACTAGCTGATCCCGTGCACTTCGTCGCCCGTTAAATGGATCAACTCAATACTACCTACTCAAACTTTGTTCAATTCATTAACGTGTATGGTGTTCAAAATTTATCTTATCTTTCCCGTTGCCCTGAATAAAAATTCTGAATCGCAGCAGTACATTATCAGGTAGGCAATCTACCTGCGGTAGATCGCGGACCCCGTGCTGTTTGTACGGAAGTGTATGATTTAACTCTAAAGTATCAAAGTTATACCAAGTTTATTTTGATGTAATACTGTGGATTAATATAATAAATTTGGTTGCTCGTAAAAAATCGCAACTCTTAAAAAAATTATGATTGTTGAACTCCTTTTGGGTGTAATTTTCTGCGGTAAGTGCAACTCTGCCACCCTGGTAAGCATTGTTCAATAATTCGATTTGATGCAAGCTTGTACCTGATCTGCCCGAATAACCAATGGCAACCAATAAATAAATGCTAATTTCTAATGTAGACTGTAACCAATGGCAACTATAAATAAATAAAATAAAAATTTCCAATTTCTATCGTGAATCTCAATGTCCCTGTTTCAGCACCTATTTAAAATGCGAATTTTGGCAAATCCTTTCTTAGCGCACGTCTATATTATAATAGCTATCTGTATGCCAAATTTCAGCCAGATCCGTCCAATGGTTTGAGCTGTGCGTTGATAGCAGTCAATCAGCTTACTGTTTTTTATATACAGATATGGTTGCCATGGTAATATGGACACACACACACACACACACACACTGACATACATTCATTTTTATATATATAGATTGATATGAAATCTTGGTAACCTTAGTAACCATGGCAACCTTGGTAACCATGGTAACATGGACACACAGACACACTGACATACATTCATTTTTATATATATAGATTATCCTCACAGAAACCTGGCTGACTCCTGACATAAGTGACAGTGAACTTGGTTTCGCTGGCTTTCAAGTAATAAGACTTGATAGAAACCATAATAACAGCACTTCTACCCGAGGTGGCGGAGTTCTAATTGCTATCAAGAATACCCGTTCCTTTCAACCTATTTCACTAACCGTATCTAATGTTGAACAAGTATTTGTATTATTGTCCCTAAACTCTGGCCACTTATTGGTAGGAGGTGTATACTTACCCCCTCGATCACCCCTTTCTGTAGTTGAATCCCATACCACTTCTGTTGAACACATCATTTCCTCTTATAAACCAAATTCCCTCGTCATATGTGGTGATTACAATCTCCCTAATATCAACTGGTCTTCTGATGAATTAGGATTAATCGGGACTAATGATCCCAGTATAATTTCCACAACTATTATTGATTCTTTTTCTTACCTTAATTTTTTCCAGCATTATTTCTTACGCAATAATCATGGCAGTATCTTAGATCTTGTCTTTTCCAACTGCAATAGAATTACAGTCAATTTAGCAACGGAATATTTGGTTATTCCTGATCCTTACCACCCACCTCTTCACGTGGTCCTTCCTTCTCAATCTGACAAATCAGTAGTTAATACTCATACATATAAAGATTTTAAGGCTGCAAACTACACTGCCATAGCGCAATTTATTAACTCCTTTAATTGGGAGTTAACATTTTCTCAGTACACAATCGAAGATGCAGCCTCTGTTTTTAATGAAGCCCTACTTCGTGCTATCGATTTGTTTGTTCCTACAAAAATATTTGAATTGCCAAAATTCCCTGCGTGGACATCTCCCTCTCTTAAAAATCTTATTATGGAGAAAAAGCGAGCTCACGCACTCTATAAGTGTTCGAGGTCCCCCTATGACTCCTCAGCTTTTTCCGAACTTCGTGCTAAATGCAAGCGCCAATCTAAAATAGACTACCAGTCTTATATAAAAAATACTGAAAACTCGTTCAATCGCAATCCCTCACTATTCTGGAAATCTATTAAAAATTTAAACCAGAAAAACACAATACCTACCACTCTATTTTGGAACAATGATAAGGTTGATACTCCTCTTGGGTCGGCTAACCTATTCTCTAAGTACTTTTATTCTATGTATAACAACTCTATTTCTCCACCCGTCAATATTTCTAATATTAATACTATTCCATATGAACTTCCTTCTAATTGTCACTTCTCCCTCGACGATGTGCAACTTGCACTCAACTCTTTAAAAAACACCAATTCTAATGGCCCAGACGGGATTTCAGCACGTTTACTTTTTAATTGTCAAGATTCTATTGTTTATCCTCTATTCTTACTCTTTAGGCTATCTCTTGATGAGGGTATCTTTCCAGCTGCTTGGAAAACATGTTCTGTCACCCCTATCTTTAAATCAGGAGATCCCTCGCTCGTTTCTAATTACAGGCCTATTTCCATCCTACCACACATTTCTAAACTGTTTGAGTCCATCGTCTACTCCTCAATCAAAAGAAGTCTTAACCATATTCTAATGGATGAGCAGCATGGTTTCCGTAGTGGGAAATCTACTGTCACTTGCAGCCTATCTTTCACATCATATATATTAAAAAGCTTTGAATCTGATTGTCAAGTTGATGCTGTGTTCACGGACTTTAATAAAGCCTTCGACACTGTCATTCATAGCCGCCTTATCTCTGAATTGGATTCACTTGGTATCGGTAACCCTTTACTCTCATGGCTCCAATCATATTTAAGTCAAAGAAAGCAATTCGTAAGAGTTCACGGCGTTGACTCTGACTTATTTATTACTCCCTCTGGAGTCCCCCAAGCAGGGCATCTCAGTCCTCTTCTGTTCATCCTTTTCGTTAACTCAATTAACAGGTACATTTCTTCCTCTGAAGTTCTTCTGTTTGCCGATGATATTAAATTTTTCTCAAAAATTACATCTCCGTCTGACAGTCTTCAACTTCAATCAGATCTCAATACTTTCTCTCTCTGGGCCCAGCGTATTGGCCTAACGCTCAACCTCAACAAGTGCCATGTTATGACATTTCATAGAAAACGTACTTGCATAATCCATCCTTATTCCCTTAATGGCTCTATTCTCAAGCGTGTATCCACTGTCAAAGATCTTGGGTTCTATCTAACTCCTTCTCTTTCCTTTGAACACCATATTGATGTTACTGTTGGTAGAGCGTTAAAAATTCTGGGGTTCTTAAAGCGCAACACTAGCCTTTTCACGTCCGCTACTTGTATTCGCTCCCTCTACTTTTCCCTTGTCCGCTCTGTCTTAGAATATGGCTCAGTTGTATGGTACCCGTATCTAGCCAAGGACCAATTACGTTTAGAGCGTGTCCAAAACCGCTTCCTTTCCTACGCCGCTTTTAAACTCAATATTGATCACCCACCCCATGATTACCTATCAGTTAGAACTTCCTTAAATATCCCTACTCTCGCATCTCGTCGTGTCGAAGCTGACCTCTCATTCATAACCTCCCTCCTTAACGGCACAATAGATGCCCCTAACCTTCTGTCCTCCATCTCTTTCCGTGTTCCTGTGCATTTCACTAGAAATCACTCTTTATACCTTGTCTCCTCTCACCGTACTAATTACTCCTTTAATAATCCATTAGACAGAATGCTCCGCCTACTTAATAGCTCCTGATCTGCAGCTGACTATATTATTGTTTATCTCTAATGAATGTTTTGTCTTTAGTTTTATTTTACCTTAG